TACCTTAGGTTTAAACAAAATCCAACTCTCGATAATTACATAAATTTTAAAAGAGTTCAAGCTGTTAAAAAGTTAGTAATTAAGCAAGTAAGACAACAGGGGTGGCAGGAATTTTGTTCCAAATTTAATAGACTAACACCAATTTCCACTGTTTGGCAAAATATGAGAAATCTAAATTCAAAACATCGTCAAAATCATTTTAAAGATATATCATGGGTCAATGATTTTTTACGCAAATATACTCCTGATTTTGTACACTCACCTTTTGATGACAAACAGTTTAATTCTGTTAATTCATGCCCAAAATTTCTCACTGACCCATTCTCAATTGATGAAATATCCAGTGCAGTAAAATCTAGAAAAGATACAGCTAGTGGCCTTGATCGCTTAACATACAATATGTTTCGATTGCTGAATAAAATAAACCTTACTAAACTCTTACAAATTTTTAACGATTTATGGAAGGACTGTATTATCCCACCAGAATGGAAAATGGATTGTTTGATTCCAGTAATTAAACCCGGTAAAGATCCTACAAATTTCGACTCCTATAGACCTATAACATTGACGTCCTGTGCAGGCAAATTATTCGAACAATTAATTAAACAGCGTTTAGAGTTCTTTATTGAAAGTAATAGTATATTACCATCGAATCAATTTGGTTTTCGCCGTGGATATTCAGCGCGCGAAAGTTTAGCAAACTTCTATGTCGACCTTAGTACTGCTTTGAATAACGATGAATATGTTCTATCTGTTTTTTTAGATGTCGTAGGAGCTTTTAACAATGTAAATTTAACAGTTCTATCTTCGATTCTATCCTCATTTCTTCCAATGAAACTTATCGAATGGATTTATAATTTTCTTAGTAATAGAGAAGTGTATGTTAAAGTAAATAGTAAATTAATAGGACCTAGGTTAAGCTCTAAAGGAGTATGTCAAGGTGGTATTTTAAGCCCGCTACTATATATTTTATATATCTATAAACTTAATTTAGTTTTAGGAAACAGTGTGAACAACTTGCAATTTGCCGATGATTTATTAATTTATATAAAAGGAAAGAATATTATTGATATGCAATTAGTGTTAAATGAGTCATTAAAAAGACTTGAGAAATATTTTTCTCTTCTTTCCCTCGATATTAGTTTAACCAAAAGTAAAGTAGTTGTTTTTCATCAAGTTCATAAATATGTTCCATTAATGAATATTATATATAATAATCAAACTCTTCCAACAGACTGTAGCGTTAAATTTCTGGGGGTAATTTTTCATCAAAATTTAAAATGGGATCTATACGTTGATTGCTTAGTAGATCGTGCTTTAAGAGCCACTAATATAATAAGATCTGTAATTGGTCGTAACTGGGGAGCTGATCCTAAAATTATCCTTTTACTTTACAAATCTCTTGTTAGAAGTAATTTTGATTACGCTTTCTTTTGTTATGCCTCAGAACATAAATTAGTAGAAAAACTCGAAAAAATTCAAAATATGAATTTAAGACTTATTTTAGGTGCTATGTATACTTCTCCAATTATCTCAATGCAAGTAGAATGTAATTTGCCTCCTATCCTTCTTCGTTTCGAATACCTAAAACTCAAATTTCTCTTCAAAGTTTTTTCAGTTTCCAATAACCCACTCATACTCAAATTATTAAATTGCCCCATTTCTATGTTTTTGAATAAAACTATTGTCAATGATTTGAATTTACGAGATGAATATAACATCTATAGTAGTAAGATACTTCCTTGTTATAATGGCCTTTATGAGAGTAAGTTCTGTAAAATCAAAATTGTTATACGTAAAGACATAAAAGAAAAGCACGATATGTATGAGACTTTATCAGAATTTATTGACTACAGGCAGATATATACAGATGGTTCCAAAAATGCACTTAGCACTTCAGTGGCTTTTTACGATTTGTCAAATAGATTTGGTCATGGTTATAAAATTTCAACTTTGGCTAGTATTTACACAGCAGAAGCAAAAGCTATATTTTTAGCATTAGAATACATAGAAAAACAGGTACTATATTCGAAATGGATTATAATTACAGATAGTATGAGTGTTCTTATGGCATTAAAAAATAACACATTCATTTCATCATCAAACTACTTAATTCAAGAAATTCGTAATAAATATTATCATCTCTGTACTATATATGGAAAAGATATTATCTTCATCTGGACCCCTTCACATATTGGAGTGTTTGGGAATGAACAAGTAGACACTTTGGCTAAAATTATTAATTCAAGTGCTGCTCGTGTTCAAGATTTACCCCTATGTTACTCAGATTGTAGTATTGGAATACATAAAATCGTTACAACTAAATGGGAGGAGCATTGGACTCAAATATTACAGACTAAAGGCAAATGGTACCGCAAAATTAATTGGCGTATTGGAAAACCGTGGTTCTGCAAAGGAAAGGACACAAACAGAAAATTTTACACCAATATTTGTAGATTACGAATCGGCCACGGACATTTCAACGAACACCTGCACCGAATGGGCATGATCGCTTCCCCATCATGCACATGGTGTAACTCAAATACAGCCCAATCTCTACATCACCTTTTTTTTGATTGCTCTGAATTTGTCATTCAAAGACACATTATGTTTGACGAACTTAGGATTATCTTCAAAAAACCCGAAAATATCCCGCACTCAATCCCGCTTCTCTTAAGATTTCCTTCTTGTTTCAAAGCTATTTTCACTTATATTACTACAACATTCAAGGAGCTATAAGAATACTTTTATTGAATTGCAAGACAATGATTTTTTATAATTATTTATTTTTAATTTGATAAATCCACTGGTTTAAGAAAACTCAAGAAAAGATATTTATGAAAATGTACTTACCGGATTTGACAAATGAAATATTGAAGATTATGACAATAATTGAAGCGACATTAGAAAAATAAAATTCCAGACAAATTATCTTTTTGAAGACTAGGCAGCATGGTCTCCGACCTTAGCCTGTTCCAAACGGAACAAACGTACTAAAAAAAAAAAAAAATATTCTAAAATATTTTCTTGATGAATCCTTCTTATTCCAATTAGACTTTACATTTATAAAACTGTTTTAAATATTTAAATATTCTTTCTATTTATTAATCAATATGTCGGTTTAATAATCTGTATATTAAGCACGAAATCTTATAATTGATAGCTGGAATAAAATATTATATGGTGTGTGAAAATCTTATTTTTCCATCGGTAATTTTATATCGGTGTTTATTCTAAATTAATAATATAAATTTGCAGTTCGTTTATGAAGAAACTGAGTGAAAATGTCCGAGAAACTAACCCTAGGGCAACGTGTGATCGTTGTTGGTAAGGATGTGAAGGGATCCGTGGCGTATGTGGGCTACCCCACCTTCGCCACAGGGAAATGGATTGGTGTTATATTGGATGAACCGAAGGGCAAGAACAATGGAACTATCCGTGGACATGCATATTTTAGGGTAATTAATTAGAACAGAATTATTTTTTATATAACACTAGTTGTTTCTTGCAGCTTTACTTACTTGCATCATCAGTATTCTGTAAAATTATCTTGTATATAATAATTTGAAAAGAGTAACTATCAAGTTTCTTGCGGGTTATTCACAGCAGATAAAAAATATCTTCTTCCTCTTCTGTAAGTAATTAATTAAATAATTTAAGTAATTCTGTATTTCCAAATATTATGATTGTTATATCGCCAATGCTATGTACATCTATTACTATTTTTTTTTATGCGACTTTGAACTAATGGTGTGCCATGGCTTTGCACTTTTTTGATCAACAAAAAAAATTACCATATTTACTTGATGTAAATTACTATAGGTAAATTTTTTAAAACTTAAATACTTTTTATTGACAATTTAATTACAATACTCATAAAACTAATCTAATAATTTTTAAGAGTTTCTTTAGAGTGAATTTTTAAGAGTTTTTTAAGAGTTCTAAGAATTTTTTTAAATTAATTTGTATTTGAGTTATTTTATTTTATGATTTTTTGTATGTATTACAAACAAACATATAATAAATCAAATCTTTTCTATGTTATAATATTTGTTTAGATGTACTTTCTTTTTAATTTTCTATTTTCAGTATTGACACAATGAATTTCTTCTTTTTTTTATATTTATTAAACTCAATCACATTTAAACAGCTGAATGAATTATTTTTAATTAAATTTAGCACACAGGTAAGCTATATCATAACATGTCTGTAGACGACTCTTACCATTGTCCGTCGGGTGGGCCGTCAGCTTGTTTGCCATTCTAAGTTGAATAAAAAAAAAATAAAAATAGAAACCAAAGTGTATTTTTTTACTCCATCAACTACAGTTCGTATTCTCAAGACTGTTTATTAATTTATTTGTTTATTAATTTCCAGTGCGAAGAGAATTATGGTGTGTTTGTACGTCAGACTCAGATCCAACTCTTGGACGCGGAGGACAATCCAATGGAGACCTCCATGACTGCCTCCACAGAGGAGCCTAAGAGTACCTCCTCCAATCGGAGACTTAGCAGGTATAGTTGTATGCCATTATTAAAATTATTAGTTTTACATTAATTAAAAGGATTTGTTACAATTTAAATTACTTATAATCTTATTAGTTTTAAACAACATATTCATCAGGCAATAATCTGCAAAGACATTGCTTGATATTTTGCCTAGTATGTTGATCAACATATTGTCCATTAATCAACATGTTGTTTGTCATGTGTGCATACATAATACATTTTAGTTGTGTCAACATGTTCAATATATGGCTATTATGTTGATCGACATATTGACTATCATGTTGATAAATATGTTGAACATCTTGTTCAATATGTTGTCAATCTTGTTAAAAAAATAAGTAAAGCTGAGATAAATAATTATAATAGATTATAACTTACGATTATTAGGAAAAATATTGCTTATTATTATATTATAAATATCAACAGGAAGTACTTTGATATAATTTCTGATTTGATTTTTTTTAAATTAGTTTTATTGAAGTCTGATTATAAACATGAAATAAACATGTTTTATAAAGCAAGAGGTTTCTTTTTCAAATTCTGCTAGTGAATACTCATTCTTTAAAAGTTTTGAGTTTCATCTATATTATTATTAAAATATGACAAGTGTTATAAGATTTCAAAAAGCATCAGTTTTTTTTTATTTAATAATTTTTTTTATTATATTACTGACGAGTGGGCTAAGGTTCAAGTATGTACTGCTTTTTTAGCAAGTACAAAGTTGATATAAAATTTATAGTATATTTTGGTTAGGTGTAGACTACTATAGACAATAGTTTCAACTTTTTGTTAATTTTGCTCAGCACATGTAGACAAATACGAATATATTATTTATTGTGGCGTAATTGGCTAATTTTTATATAATAAAAATAATTTTGTTTTTCGTAAGTATCAATTTATGAATTTATTTACGTAGTTTAATTTTATATCCATTGGCCTGTATTATTAACATATCAATTTGTTATAATTTTTTTTTTAAGTTATACTTAAATTTATTATCTATTATTGAAAAAAATAATGTTTACATACATTAAATTAACAAGTTATGTTTAAGCAGATGTAATATTGATGTTTTATATTACTCAGTATTGCCAACTGTAAAAATAATTATTAATTTCTGAAGTCCGCAAATGGCGACACCATGCATAAGTCCAGAGCAAATCCGTTCTACAATCACAGGGTACACTATATACATACGCTATAGAATGCAAGTAATGTTTTTTTTTATGAACACTCAAGGCTCCTGCTAAAAGTATGTAGACCTCTGCTTAGATTTCCAAATTTTGATGGTTATTTTGTGAGGTGGATAAGATTGTCTGAATGGTTTAGCCCTGTTTAATTAAATAATAAACTAAAACAAATAGGTGTAGTTTTAGTTAAATTTTTTATATTATGTGAAAGTAATGAAAATTAAATTCTTTTACTCAGATTTTAAAGTGGTATATTACTTAAATATAAATTTTAGATTAGTTTTAACATAGCTTAGATTTTTTTACAGTGACTAGCTTCCTGGACATTCTGACAATGAAACATTTTCTTTTTTTTTTTCTTTAAATTGGTAGTTACTGTGCGGTTAATGGAAAAGGCATAAAGTGTATGGAATTGATATAAGCTGTCGTCATTGTCACATGGTCTCTTAACTGTGTGTGTCAATCCCATACATTTTACATTTTCATTAATGACGTTACACATACAATGTTTTTCTGTCTACAAACTGTTTTTCAGTAATTACTGTCCTCTGGACAATATTGATATTCTATACTTGGCAAAGTTAGTAAACGATTTTGCCATTTTTTAATCAAAACAATAGCGCATCAAAGTAAACAAATGTAAGGTAAAAATTATTTTGTATCAATTATATATTTATTTTTAAATGACTAAATTTGTTAAAAAAATAAGCTAAGATTGTTTATTAAATTGCGCGAAGTATAGAAGAAAAGATAATAACAGATAATGCAAAATGTATGAAATTGACATGACCTTCTGTCAATTCCATACAATTTGGACTTTTCTACTAGATATTTCTTAGAAATTTACTTTGTCTATGGGGACAGATGGTTTAGCATGTGTGGGGGTAATGGGGAAATTAGACATACTACCATGAAAAGAGAAAAGGTGTGCAAGTGGGGGTTGATGGTTCATTAATAAGTAGATGGATTTTCAGGTCGATTAATAATTTTTTTTTCACCGTAGACTTATTGGATGTCGGTATTTCAATTTGTTAAAATATTTCTTTTAATAATTTTTGCATACAAGTATAAATAATATTGTAATTTGTTTATAAAAATAATTTGAATATATATACATATATATATATATATATATATATATATATATATATATATATATATATATATATATATATATAGTAGTAGAATTTTTTAGAGTAACTGATTTAATTCACTTTTTCACTATTGGACTGATTACTGCTATCCAAGTGTCTTATCAACGAAAATAATTTCGTAGACACTATATAGACTACGAGTATGTCCAACAGTGGGATTGTGGCATGCAAAATCGAAATTTCAACGCCCCTTACAGTCACTTTAGTATTTCTGTTAATTAATAGATTGTGTACCACAAAAAAAAAAAACTAAACTACTAAATCGATTTTAATAAAATTTCTATTGCACTATTCTGTAAGTATATCCTTTCAGATTTCAGATACAAAAAGAATTTTCCAAATTGGCTTAGAAATGACGGAGTTATGAGAAAAAGTATAACAGAATTTACCAGAAAATTTTACCAGAGGCAGACTTTGTACAAAAGTCGTTTGCTTGGGTACCTCTGTCCCATTGTTTGAAGGGTGGGATATGGCGTGAATTTACAGGGTACAGAGGAATAACACCTGAGTCCTCTGGAATGGCAACGCATGGGGAGGTATCATGGGCGAAACAGATACTCTGTTATGTCCACGGTACTGCTCATGTCTATAGGCGACGGTTACCACTTTCCATCAGGTGGGCCGTCAGCTTGTTTGTTATTCTAAGTTGTATAAAAAAAAAAAATTTGTTTCTTCTTTTTGAAGTCGCTTGAAGAATCATCAGATTAGCAATTTAATTAGTTAACAGATTGAAACGCCGACAATTTAACTTAGTATTTAGTAGTGTGTGTGCGCTAACAGTGTGTTTTTTATCTTGCTAGTATAACTGTGGCCCAGAGGTCTAGACCTACCACGTGAGTACCAATAGTATGTAGACGCACCGCTTGTATCGCTTCCACGTAATTTAGTACGAATGCGACGTTAGAAATGTCATTACGTATCCGCTGTACCAATATTTTAATGAATTAATGAAACAGAATATATATATATATATATATATATATATATATATATATATATATATATATATATATATATATATATATATAATTTACATGTATTTATTAAATTTTAACTACTTATTATTGTATTGTATAAGTTTTACGATTCTTTTGTTTTTGTAAATATTCGGGCATTAATTCATACATACATTTATTCATTAATTTTTTCATTCAATCATAAATCCATTCTGAGAATGTCTATTATTCAATATGATTTTAAAATTTTACGTTTACATTATTGCAACATGGCAACATCATTTAAAACGAATGAAGTGAATCATGCAATATTGCCATTAGTAAAAAAATAGCTATTCAAATATTAAGGACCCTTGCAAACGCAGCGATTGGCGATTTAATTGATTTTCCAAACGCTGCACACAAAATCTTATCTCGGTTGCTTATTGCAGTGACTGCAAAACGAGATAAGGCTATAGTAAAAAGTGTCATCGTCTGCCGAGACCCTTAAATCAAGCTAACATTTTGTTAGAAAAATGATTTTGAATATAAATACGGGCGCATCGGATACGTCTTTACATTTAGAGTATTGAAATAATTGTTTTATATTGACTTTGCTAATACTCTCTGAAGTTTGACTAATTTCGCTTAAGTAATCAATTATATTAATTTTTTTTAGTTTCACATTATACGACTGTTAAAAATATTATATTAAAAAGTAAACAGTCATGTCTGCTGTTTATAATACCTTTAAAGCCATCAATTTTTTTTTTTAAGTTCAAACCAACATATTACAAGTTCGAACCGTTCATTCATTGTAAAGAGTTTTTTTTTTTATTTATAACATCCTAAAATAATATTTTTAACTGTCGTATTATTTTTTAATTAATGCCAATTAATAGGGAATAATATAATATGTTATTTATAAGATATATTAAAATTAGAAAAAAAGAAAATTTAATAAATAATATAAATTTTACCAATAATACTATGTTGTGATTGTAATCAACAATTTTCGTATGGTAGAAAAATTGTGTATAATTTTGAAATATGAAACTGTATTGTAAATTATTTGATTAATTTTTTAACAGAATGAATAATTTGTTTTTAAATTTTGAATTTTTATTCACCATATGAAATTTGTCACCGCTGTTTCACTGGCTCGGCAATAATTCGTATTTACGTGACTTTTTTTTTTTAATAAATATTAAGATTTTATTAATTTTTCATATTTTTTTATCAATTGTCAAATGATTTAGCTATGGAATGTCAAATGTTTCAAATGTCAAAATGACATTGACAGTTGATTGAAGTTAGTAAGGAAAGGGTTTTTTAATGGCTGATAATGAAATGGTAGCCCCTCCTGTTCTATCGGTGTATGCTGGCGGGGCACCAGTGAGGGGTGATAGGTGAGAATGAAAAGGCAGGTCAGTTAGCCCATAGTAATGAATGCACCTGGAATTCAGCACGATGGTTTTCAGGGAGGATCACGGGGGAGTCGACTTGACAGGGTATATTGCTAGCAATGGGACTGGTAGCTTGCATTACTAACAATCCCTTTTAAATTAATATTTATCTATATTTTATTATTTTATTTATTACATTTATTAGTGAATTATGAAGTAATTTAAACGGGGTTCTAATTCGTATGTACCTACAGTTATTACATTTATTTTTAATAAATTAAAAAAAAAATGTGAAAATTAAAAAATAAATGCATTAGCTAGTGAAACAGATGAATGATGTTTTAACCATTTGTGAAGTTAAGCGCTCTGTCTTGCTAAAATTAGCAATTAACAAAGTTAATACTAACATTGTGTTACAACTGAAGGGTGCGTCGGAAGGCATCGCCCGCGCAGACCAAATCCGGAACATTGTCTATGTCGAGGTAACCGATAATAGTCGTAAGAAAGTATCTAGAGCTTGCATAGCACCCCTAAGAACAAGGAATTATATGAAATAAAAACTGTAAATCATATGGTTGCCTTCTTTCGTCTAATGCAAATATAATTAGTAAAAAGAGGATGAAAGATACACCATCAGTTGCTGTTTTTCTCAGTTCATAGCAGATTAGTGTATAGAAAATGTTTAATATGTCAATTATTTGTCAATAACAAATTTTACATTACTAGATTATATATTCGACACAGTTTATGTAGAAAGTATGCGAGCAGGTTGTATCTGAATTTGGTAGGGTTATACGACCGTATAACATTTTTTACACACTAGCCTGCTATAAATTGACAAAAATAGCAAATGGTGGTGTATCTTTTGTTCTCTTTTTACTAATTATATTTGCATAAGAAGAAAGGAGGCAACCATATGATTTACAGTTTTTATTTTATCATTCCTTCTATGTAATTTGTTGTTCTTAGTAGCACCCTGTATTAGTGTTGTCCTATAATCTCAAATCAATGAATCGATAGTCACTCAGAATATTATAAAACATCGATTGGCCTAACTGTATCCATGGTATCTACAATCCATAGTGTCGATGTGAATGTTTATGCAATATCAATCGATTATAATCGACTGGATATGTGATATAAGTGTGTTCAAAACGCCTGTATCATTTAGATAGTATAGTTTTAGTACTTTTGTTATTGTAAATTATGTTGATAAATAGTATCTTAGTTAATTATAATCGATTTATTTTTTTACAATCGAATTATATCGAATTATCGATTAATGATTGATATCTAACGATTATTAGACAACACTATTTTAATTACTCTGTACACGACCTCGCTCAAGATTTCCGTCTGCTTGGTATGCATATCTATTAGAATTAAACAAGTTTGTACCCTAAACCCGTTAATTAAGGACGTCGATTAAGTGGCGTCAATAAAGAAGATATTTCATTTTAGGTTCAGTTATTGTACAGTAATTAAAAAATCGAATAAAATACAAGGATGGGTGGAAAGAAAGAAAAAAAAACAATCTTTACTATGTAGTTTATTGGCATAAAAATATTTTCGATTCTTTATATAAATTTATTACATCGTGCATATTCAATTCTATGTGAGAATGATAAAGTAGTATAAAAAAAGTTGTATAAAAAATATGTATAAATAATAAATAATAGCTTAAATTTCAGTAAATTTTGTAAGCTACAAATATCGAACAAAGAAATAGAATCTTAAAAAAATAAAATACAAAGGAGCTTGTAAACAAGTATATTTAAATATATGAGAGGGACAGTTTGTACAAAAGTAATTTGCTTGGGTACCTCTGTCCCATTCGTGTGTCTACCGTGAAGCAGTTGTGTTTGCATGGCTGTGTTTCGGTTTGAAGGGTGGGATGTGGCAGTGAATTTACAGGGTACAGAGGAATAACATCTGAGTCCTCAGGAATGGCAACGCATGGGGAGTATCATGAGCGAAACATTATACTCTGTTATGTCCGTGGTACTGCTCATGTCTATAGGCGACGGTTACCACTTTCCATCAGGTGGCCTGTCAGCTTGTTTGCCAATCTAAGTCGTATAAAAAAAAAGTATGTTCATTATTTATTTGAAATCTGTTAAAACAAGCGCTTTACGTTATTTTAACTTTGAAGTTAACTTTGTATTCGTAGTATTGTGCTTTATTTTCGTATTCTTCGCTTATTTTTCTTGTAATAAATGTATAAATATATTTTTTTTTGTCAAATAATATTTTTTTAAGCAATGATAATTATATATTATAAATAGATCTTATATTCGCGTACGGGGTCAGCTAAGCCGTTGCACGTCGACCCATAGAGATCTTTTATGCTTCCCCCTTGTCTTATACCATCGTTTCATAGATCCTTAACCTTAATTGAGTGTTACCTTAACGATATCCTGCAGTTTAAGATATATATGGTCTCCTGGGTCTGGATAGGCCGTCATAGATACATAGATAAACACTTTGACTTGTCTATGACCCACGTAAATTTACAACTAAATTTATACAATCAAATAAGTTGCATAATTATAAGAATATAGTAGAAAAGAAATAAAATAAAAATAAAATATAAAAAAAAAATGTTATTCGACAAAGAATATTTTTAATATTTTGTATGTGTACTGTATGTCGTTTCTAATGTTTTGTGTCTGTTTTATTTATGTAAACTTAACTGAAACTGGCTAATTAGATTTGGTTTAATTAAGGCCTGTGCAAAAGTGGAACAAGTTTTTTGCGAAGCACAAATATTCCATTCCTATCAGCTTGTTATATTCAGCAATACGTGATAGAGATGGGTAATGTCCGATATCTTTATATTGAGTACTATATATTGATGACCCGTATTGCAATATCGCCCATATCAGTCGGATATCAGGGCCTCTAGACAAGTGGCAAGCGAATTCGTCGATGGAATCGACATCGCTACCGAGTCCGCGAGATAGAATGAGATAGCAACGCCGGGTGACTCATTCCAACTCACGGACTCGCGATGTCGATTCTATCGAGGAATTCGCTTGTCACTTGTCTACAGAGCCTGTATTCATTACGAACGGGTTCTTCTTTCCGATATTATATATTATATTTTCGATATCTAATATATATATGTTACTGGGTCAATATATATACAGATATTGTAACTAGATATCTATATATGATATATAGATATCTAGTTACATATTAAATATTACTTATTTTTGATACTTGGTTGATGTAGCATGGAGTTCAATGCGTTCTATTATGCACTTTATACGGGGTGACATCGAATTTGGTAGCAGTACGTATATTTATTTTGAAGTAATTTACAATAGTATTTATTGTAACATTTAGACACATTATTCATATTTATATATTTATTAATATTTTTAAATTATACAATGTATTAGAGGCGACATATTTTTTTACTTACAATTACCAGACAGCAACCAGAGAGCATCACTCTACATACATCAAAAATATATAAAGATTAATAAAGTTGCCATTTTAAGAAATAAGGGGTTTGCCAGTGGTTGTCACACTTGGCAGGTACGTTGGCAACCGCAGTTAAGCTTTTGATGATGCATTAAGAGGGACACTGTTGCTTATCCCTCGACCATTAGTTCTTTTAGTCGCCTCTTGCGACACCCATGGGACAGAAAGCCCATTCTGGGCTGGATAGTGATGGAAGCACACGGCTTAATCTCCTTATGAAGGCCTATGTTCAGCATTGGACATTAAACAGCTGATATGATGATATGTTGACATAAAATGAAGAATTTACTCATATTAGAGGTTACTAGGTCAAAATTTCATGAATTTAAAAAAAAAAACCAGAGGGAGACTTTGTACAAAAGTCGATTGCTTGGACACCTCTGTCCCATTCGTGTTTCAACCGTGAAGCAGCTGTGTTTGCATGGCTGTGTTTCGGTTTGAAGGGTGCGATATGGCGTGAATTTACTGGGTACAGTGGAATAACACCTGAGTCCTCAGGAATGGCATCGCATGGAGGGTATCATGGGCGAAACAGTATACTCTGTTATGTCCACGGTACTGCTCATGTCTATAGGCGCCGGTTACCACTTTCCATCAGGTGGGCCGTCAGTTTGTTTGCCATTCTAAGTTGTATAAAAAAAAATTCAAAAAGAACAAAAAATTTCGAGTCTCCCATACTAAATTAATACAGGCTGTATTAGTGGTGGGAAGTTCGAATTTTTATGTCGTCTTTCGACGCACATTCCTTTGGGTTTTGCTGACTATAGGATATTCTATATAGCAAGGATTCCTACAGTTTTAAGATAACGGAACGCCCAACGAATACCTTTTATTTCATGCAAACCATTCAATGATTACAAATCAAAAACACTGTAATTTAAATAAGAACAAAAGCTTTTATTAGAAATATTTTAAAAGTATAACACTTTATAATTTCTTTTAACTTTAAATGTGAAGAATGGAATTGTTTTACTGTGTAAATAATGTCACGGAACCCTGGTGACTTTTACGGAACCCCTAGGTGCTGCTGAACCCATTTTAGGAATCGTTGTCCTATATATGCTAACGAATTCGATTTTACCCCTTATATGTAGTTTTTTTTTATATATATATATTCTTTATTGCACTTGTAAGTTACATTTAAAATAATGTATTTATAAATGTTGTGAGCAAGGGTGGACTTATCTCTGACTTTTACCATTTTCAGATATATCAGCCCTATCGTACCCTAAACTGATTTCTCAAATAAAGCTTTATCTACTTTCCCTAGACACGGAAAGAGAAGAATTAATGAACATTAATAATTTACAGAGATGTTAAAAAATTTCTGGTTTAGCTTCAGCTAATATAGATTGAATAAGACCAACTTTAAGTTTATTTAAGTTAAAGTGGCGCATGAATTCTTCTCTTTCCTTCGTGTTTGTACGACACTCTAATAAAATATGTTGCACCTTATCTATGGTATCACATGTTTAGCAGCATCTTGCTTGATTTTTCTGTATTAAAATTTTTATATTCTGATTAATAATTTAAAGATTCTTCTAAAAATATTTGATATTGACTAAATTTGCATGGGACGGAGATCTTTCTCATTAAAAAGTAAAATTAGTCATAATTTACGAAAATATCACATAAATACATTTATAAATTGCAAAATTTCCTTGATTCAAAGTTGATTAAAAAACTATAAACTGTATATATATACGTCACGCTTGACTGCATCCTAGTAAATTTTAGGAAATAACTGTGTAGTAACTAGTTTATTTAACCTTTAAGCTTGAATACACACGGATTGCTAAATAAAACGCATTAATCACTGATTACATATGGCATAATGTATAGTTTAGTCTTTGCCTTGTAACCGAATGTCTGTGCATTTAGTGGAGTGATTTAAAAAAAAAACAGATGTCAAAATGAGGCGCCAAAAGAGACGCCATAAACGGTAATGTAATAATGGAATAAAACAGTATTATTTGATATGTTTAATAGTATAGTAATATAAAAGGTGGTGCAGGCTAGCTGCTTTGGCCTGTTTACATGAACTAACACGTATTTTTGATGTATTTTTATTGAAATAGAAAATTTTCCTTCGTTCTTCTGTCCTTTGGCCATCGTGTCACGCTTTAATGCTCAAAAGTACTCAAATTTCGTGCGTGTCTATTATTTAATCACCTTTTAAAACCATAGACAACGAATTTTAAGATGCTGTCGCGTTTTATTCGACATAAATTTGTTTACATTGCCATCCAGATCCATTCGTATTTACTTCACAAAATATTAATTACAATTCATTGCACTAGATGGCGTTGTAAATAATTGTGTACTTACAATTAAAAAAATAGTAGTACATTTTTTGTTGAAATTATATATGTATAAAGTGTTTTCATTATAATCCTTATGGCAAGGGCATTACAAACTTTGCGGTAAGGGCAAACACAATCTTACAGTAAGGGCAGAGTAAATGAGGGTATATACTAGTCTTGCCCTTTCGTTTACTTTGCCCTCCAGCTGGACCTATTGTACTTTTTATATTTGTGTCCTTAGCTTCGTTTTTGTTTTGCGAGTAAGGGAAAAATTGTAATATTATGTTAAAACTTGTCCTCTTGCATTACATTGCATTGTTGTAATATAATTTGCTTGCAATGTGTCAAATAGCGGCTTTACGGTGATGGAACCTTTTAGCTTGATGTTGTACACACATATTTTTATTGCACTTTGTAAAAAAATTGTGGTCGTCGTTTTTTAACGCCTTAGAAGTCATATATCAGTTTAATTTATAATGCCCCGATTCAACGAGCATAATATTGTATTGTTAAATGTAAATTGGGAGAATATACGATATGATGAAACAACTTAATGTTGCCAGGGCCCGATTCAGGGACGTTAGCCGGGCAAACTGAGTCCACTGCAGATTAATATTGTAAAAAACAGTAACTAATTATTTTTATCCATACTGGTGAAATATATACTATATTGAGCACTGATTTTTTTATTAACTGAGCGAAGTGAATCTAATGCGTTATGTAAACGACGATCTTAATATGTAAAATAGTATAGATGTATTTAATTATACAGGTTGAAATCAAAATAAACGGCGTCTTTTTAAGGAAGTGTGACTTGATATTACGGTTGATAGCGAGGCGTCGTTTTTTTTAAATTTCTAAAATTAAAATTTCAATGTGATACCACAATGAAATTTTTATCTTAAGGACTAATATAAAGTAAGGAACTACATTTCTAATAGATTTAAGCCGAAATTATTGTAAATTTGCTATTAACGGTTAAAATATTAGGTTAAGAGATAAGTTTAAAGAAATAGATAATCGATATCTGTTATTGACCCAATATATATATATTACCCACATATTAGTAATATGCCAGCTACACTGACCGGGTTAAATTGGCACGTTCAAAGTTTCCTGTTCTTTTTCAACTTGTGTTTTTTTTTTAATCTGTTTCGTTATACTGTTAGAACACTTCCTTAAAAGAAGGCTAAAAATTTTGATTTCACTCTGCATATAAATAGTGTCTAATTAATAATAATATTAATTAAAACTTCCAGTTCTCGCACGTCATTGGCGAGTAGCCGCCAGTCTCTCACGTCGTACGCCTCTCCAACAGCGGAGAGGGCGTCGTCTCCGGATCTAACGAAGCGTGCCTCGTTCGTTGAGGTAAGGGTCACACATGTGGTATGTTTACTTCAAAAGGGTAAAAACCGTAATAATTTTATGAATACATATAGATATTGTGCTACTGTTTTCGCAAAGATGAGATCAACACTACGGTAGATCAATATTCGTAATAAGATATTGTTCTGTCACTTTCCCTCAAATAGAGGTTTTAGTGCAAAAGAATGAGACAATATACTTCAATATTTAGATAGCTTTATTAGACGTTTTAGGTTTTTTTATTGACACCTTAGAATGGCAAACAAGCTGACGGTCTACCTGATCTGTCAGCTTGTTTGCCAAGTCCCAATAGTGTATTTATTTGGAAACAACGAGGAAGTTTTTAAATTAATCTTCTATTAGTCGTTATTGAATCGTACGACTTTCATTCTTATTGTTGGATGGGGTGGAATAGTAAAATAATTTATATATCAAAGTGTCCCCCCCCCCTTCTTGCCTCACTTGTCTGTGATAGCGACACTTTGAAAAGATGGCGAAGTCATTTCTAGAATATGCCCCAGAATAAACCCTACTCCGTCCCTGGATTAAAATAGTTTATTTACATGCGTTGCCATTCCTGAGGACTCAAATGTTATTCCTCTGTACCCAGTAAATTCACTGCCATATCCCACCCTCCAAATCGAAGCACAGCCATGCAAATACAACAGCTTCACGGTAAAAACACGAATGGGATAGAGCCAAAGCAAACGATTTTCGTACAAAGTCTGAGTCCTCAGGAATGGCATCCGTACGCATGGGGGGGTATCATGGGCGAAACAGTATACTCTGTTATGTCCATAGTACTGCTCATGTCTATAGGCGACGGTTACCACTTTCCATCGGGAGGGCCGTCAGCTTGTTTGCCATTCTAAGTTGTATAAAAAAAAAAAAACTTGGATATGTTTAAAAATAAATAACCTTAGTACCTAACATTAAGTCAGATCCAGCATTACCTTGTGTTTGTGTAAGCACATTGGTACTATATGCTATTTTAACTGATTGTAGTATTAATAAGGGTTAAATGTTTGTTCAAGTATAAGTAAATAAATGTTTATTTATTATTATTATTATCCATCCCTATTTAATAGCATGTCTAAAGCAGTGGACTCTATGGGCGTGAGGAAAGTGATAAACTTTCCATCAGATGGACTCATGGTTCATCTCTAATTTCTTCTTATTCTCAGTAGTTTAAAACTAAATAAGTATATAATTAAAATAAAAGCCAATCAAATCTTCTTCGATCTATTTTCAAAATTAGTATAATTTTTAGGACAGCCTAAATAAAATTTAAATATTTTTCTCTTTTCTGTTTAAAATTGGAAAACAAGCAATTGGCACTTAGCGAGGATCACATCGTGTACCAAGTGAGTTGTAGCTTTCAGTGTGCGCGTACGCAGCTATAGACTCTGGGGTACTGTATCGTGTGCCCCGTTCTATAAAGTACCCCAGGGACATAATGAACCCCAGTGCTAATTGAGCAGCTGTTAATTATTCATTAGAGATGCTTCTAGAATTAGGCTTCCACAAATGCTGCTTTTCAAGTTTATAAATTACACCTTAGTTCTCTTGATTCAGGTCACATAATCCACTGCTGTGCTCAGGCCTTCATTTGTCAAGCCACTTGGAGATATATTTATTTATATTAATATAAGCGAGCGATAGTAAAGAAAGCTAAATTTTTACAAGATTTATTTAACATTATTTTTACTTTATAAATAACTTTACACGAAAGGTGTCAATACAACTTAATTTCTTTGCTTACTTTTTTAGATTTCCGATATTTTTAGTACCTATGCGACTACAAAATGTCGATATTTTTAAAGGATGATAATGGAATGGCCTGCGCTAATGGTATACACTGGCGGGGCTCCAGTGAGGGACGATAGGTGAGGATAAAAGGGCAGGACAGTGTATACCGATAGCGCAGGCGGGGTTAGCATTCCATTGTCATTCATTAAAAACTGGCCACGGTCGCTTTCTACCATCTTACAGCTCGCCGTCGACAGGGAGTTCATCCCCATACCCTAAAGCGTACAGCGCGGCTTTAGAGATGTTTCCTCCCACGAACGCTCAGGTTATGGAATGAGCTCTCTGTCGAGATTTTGCCAAAGGACTACAGCATGAGGTTCTTCAAAAAAGAGGCAACGAGGTTTCTTCAGTTACCCCTGGTATTGCAGGCGTTCATAGGCTACTGTAACCGCTTATTATCAGGTGGGACGTATGCTTGTTCACCATCTTAGTGGTATAAAAAAAATACAATGCAATATATACCTGATTTCTGTATTATTTTTTTATAATTCTAACATTTTATTTTTCAGACGGGTTTTGTGGAGACCTTGACTCCTCAGTTCACTCCGGGACAGAGCATCACGTCACCGCAGCCCGTGCCGTCTGTTGAGGACAAACTTGCGAACATACAAGCGCAGCAAGAGGTAATTGTCTGAGGGAGACTGTACTTTGTTAGGTTTTGGCTGCCATTTTGTTTGCGCACGTTATGCGACACATGTTTCACTTCTAAACGAGGCATCTTCACATAGATCGCTGTTCGGAGCCTAGTGTTAACCGTTTCACGACCAAATTGCAAATCTATGACTAACATGGAAGGTTGTGGAACTTCTTGTGGTAATAGTCAATCTTCGAGTGTTGGCAGTTTCACACACATTTTTTTTTTTATACAACTTAGAATAACAAACAAGCTGACGGCCCACTGGACACAGCCCGGCTGAAAGGGCTGTTATAAAGATGTTAGCTTTACGAAGGTTATATAACCTCGAAATGTTCTCGTTTTTATATATATAATTATCATTTGAAAGCTACTATATCAATTGAACATAAAATAAAAAAAAAAAAAAAAAATCTGAGCCACCATCTATAGTGAAGCACTATAGGAAAGTGTATACTTTTTTTTTTATACAACTTAGAATGGCAAACAAGCTGACAGCCCACCTGATGGAAAGTGGTAACCGTCGCCTATAGACATGAGCAGTACCATGGACATAACAGAGTATACTGTTTCGCCCATGATACACCCCATGCGTTGCCATTCCTACTATATTATGCATGTATTATACATATAACCTTTATACTTTCCAGATTACTCAGCTGAAATCTGAAGTGGAAGACCTCAAAGAGAAGCTGGAAACGATAAAAGTCCGGCGCGCGGAGGACCGCGAGAAACTGCGCGAGCTGGAACGGGTCAAATTACAGCTGGACCAAGCAAATGAGTTCAAGACGAGGATCATGGAGTCGCAGGCACAGCTGCAGAGGGACCTGCAGCGGGCTAAACAGGAGGTGGGTACTGCTCGCGTTCATTGTCATTGGCGCACTCGAGATATGATCCTCGGTGATAGAGGGGGATGGGGAGTGAAGGAGTACTAAAAGCGTTGTTCCTAATCCTGGGGTTGGCCCGCTCCCTCCCCTCCATCGTAAATATATCTGTTCATTGTGTCCTGTGATATAGTAAGATAAAATGCTACCAGTAAATGAAATGGTGATCTTTTTTTTGATGGGTGAAAATGGTATGGTAACCCCGCCCGCGCTAACGGGATACGCTGGCGGAGCATCAGTGAAGGGTGATAGATGAGAATGAAAACAGGCCAGTTGGCCCATCATGATGAATTCATCAGGAATTAACCATGATAGTTTCCAGGGGGAACGGCGAGGAGTTCGACCTGGTTGGGTATATTGCTAGCAATGGGATTCTCAGTCTCCATTACTAACAATCTCTTTCCTCCAAGTAACGTACTTTTGTTTTAATGGATGATGATAGGCTAACTGACCTGCTTTCATCCTCATCTAACATCCCTCACTGGTGCCCCGGCAGTGTATACCGATAGCGTCGACGGGGTCACAGTTCCTTTGTCTCATTTAAAAAAAAAAAAAACTGAACTCTTTCTTCAACATCACCAGACCCGGGAGGCACAAGAGGCACTAGAAGCCCACAACGACGAGACAGCCGAACTCCAAGAGGCAGCAGAAATGGCGGCCCTGGACAAGGAGATGGCCGAGGAGAGGGCGGAGGCGCTGCAGCTCGAGCTGGAACAGTGCAGGGAGAAGCTGGAGGAGGCCACCCTAGACCTGCAGCTGATGAAGGCCGAAATGGAAGCCGGCGGCAATATACGTAAGTGTTTATCACCGTTAATATGACTAATCAATATACATCATCATCATCACCATCATCTCAGCCATTATCCGTCCACTGCTGGACATAAGCCTCCCCCATAGACTGCCATAAAGAACGGTCCTGAGCCACCTGCATCCACTGACACCCTGCAATGTACAATTTATAATTTATTATAATTGTTTAGGAATTTAAAGGTAAATTACTAATACATATATAAAACTGTACGTAGACAGTGTCTGTACATGGGAAGATATTTAAATAACATTGATATAAGGGATCTTGTAAGACCGATATATACTAAAACATTTTTTTTTTAAATCTGTCTGTATGTTTGATCTGCCATCACGCCAAAACTGCCGCACCAAATTGGATGCGACTTTAACCGTTGCATTCCTGAAAGACTAACTAACTCTTTGCTGGCCAGGAAGGTTTGGATATGAAAAGGCGAGTTAACTCGTTACCGGTCAGCAAAGTGTTAAAATGTGGTATGTTTTATCTTAATACGCCACCTAGAGTTAGTTCTAGTTTATTACTTTTTTTACTTCTGAAATCCTTGCGTCCGAAGTTGCGGGCAAAAAGCTATAAGGGTATATACACTAAATGGAATGAAATGGTGAATAAATCTATCTATCTCTCTAAATTGGGTTTAATAAATTAACCAGAGCAGTTGGTAGTGGTACATACATATCTGTCACGCCTGTCTCCCATTGCGGTAGACAGAAACAATATAACGCCAAATGCTTCGATTCAAACAGACCTCTTTCGCTTCCTTCACATTCATCAATCTTGGTGGCGGTTTAGCCTATTAATTGTGTAAATAAATATAAATAATAAATATTCATTAAATTCAAAGCTTTTATATATTTTTGGAATAAAAAAAACTACATTTTTACTTGAGTAACTAAATTTACTAATAATATAATCATATATATAAATTTTTTGTCTTATGTATAGGCTTAAAAAAATAGATTTACATTTATAATACTGGTTACTTGATTAGTTAGAATGACTTTTCCGACTCTCAATAATCAAGACAGAAATAGTCTGTGTGCTGAACGGTTAACACTAGGCTTTAGGCAGCGATCTAAAAATTTGCTTGAAGATGCTTCGTTTACAAGCGAAACACGTGTCGCAACACGTGCGTGAATAAAATGGTAGTCGGAGATTGATTATGATGATACTTCTTAATGGTCATTTTAAACATATTATATCTAAAGAAAAACACATAATGTTAACAGAGATTTAAAAAAGTAACTCAACAGATAACGACCTTCCGAACCCTGCAGTAGTTTAAAAAAAAAATACGATTTAAAAGTGCTTGTAAACAAGTCTGTTTGATTAAAGATTATTTTAATTTGATGTCTAATATGGAAGGTTGTTGAACTCCTGCTAGTAATAGTGGTGGTTAATCTTCGAGTGTTGGCAGTCGCACGCATACTAATGGTAGCGGAATTAAACGAAATAATGCTAATCAAATAACCAGTGATATGAACTTCAGTAAGATAACACCTAGTTCAGTAATAGTACATTACTGCAGCGGCCAGCAACTGAGGCATTGATGGACGAACGTGTAAATGTGGGCCGAGGCGTAGCCGAGGCACACATACGTGAGTCTATCAATGCCTAGTTGTGGCCAAGGCTTGTATAGTACTTTTCTCAAACAATGCGCGGAAATCCAAAACACAATTTTACTTTTTAAGTTCAATGAAGAATAACGAACAATAATAATTTTTCGCGCGCCATAATGTTCGTTTGTTTTTTTTTTCAATAAACAGCTTTCTATTTGCAAGCTAGTTCAAAATTTAAATAAAACCTTTTATTAGTTACCTCCTTGGTAGCCATGTTTCGAAGTAAAAGGGCATTTTTAAATTACAGGACAGATATGAGTTTACATAGTAATTTATCTGGCCGCAAAACACGACAGATATAGATTTTCATACAACTTTTGCCGGCCGCTGCCCGCATGTATCTGGCCAGTACGGCAATTTTGATTTATCTCGAAGAAGATTGTCAAAATAATGCTCACATTTCCAAGCATGTTTGAGAAAAATATATAACAATATGTAATAGGTGTTAAATATAGTTATACAAAGACAGAGCACACAGTCTACACCGCGATATATGGCTTCCAGCTTTATTCACTTTATTATATATATAAATTATTTTATATAGACATATATGTTATATATTTATTTTATTTTATAGAAGTACATACACAATTATTGAATGTACGTATATTTATTTATAAATTGGATTGAGTATTTAATTTATTATATTAGAATTATTTGTTTTTTTTTTTGTTTCGTCTAATCTCCTTATTCATAAATATGTCAAATGTGTCATAGATATATTATGGCTATTGGAGTGTTTTGTTTTTTTTTTATTTTGTACTAAATTCTAAATTTGAAAGTGACAAAACATTGTAATAGTTAAAATAGGTTTATAGGACGCTTTACGTTTTATGAATAAGGGGTATGTATATATATTTGTATGTTTTTTTTTTTTGTAATCTTAACGCATTCACTGCTTTTAATATTCCAACACGCTTGACTTTGTCAAAAAAAAAATATATTCCAACCACAAACAATAATAATGTTTCTTTAATACACAAATAATTTGTATAGGCACTGACTAAACATTTATACCTAGTTTCGTATATAAATGCTAGTTGAAATCCACAGTTACTTTTTATTCTTCTTATTTTTTTTTATTCATATCTCTTCAAATCAGAAACGGGACAAAACTGTAGGTACATGATTAAAAAAAAAAGTATTGTGTACACGCAACACTGAAACATTTAGTGTTGCCATTTCTTGTGTGTTTGACAGTTAAAATCACATGCAATTGAATTGTAAATCGCTTGATTTTTTTTTTATGAATGATAATGAAATTGTAACCCTGCTTGCGCTAACGGTATACGCTGGCGGGGCACCAGTGAGGGGTGATAGGTGAGGATGAAAAGACAGGCCAGTTAGCCCATCGTGATAAATACACTTAGAATTCAGCACGATGGTTTCAAGGGGGGAACACGGGGAGGTCGACCTGTAAGGGTATATTGTTAGCAATGGGACTGATAATCCGCATTACTAACAATCCCTTTCCCCCCTAATCGCTTGTATTGGGTTAGAGTACAGTAAATGTTTATATTCTGTATTGAAAATATAGGAGAAATATTACAGTAAGCATTTTATATAGAAGAAATTGCTAAGAAAAAATATGCACTATATTATGGCTGTATGGCTTTTCCCCTTTGCTATTCGAGATAAATAAAAAAAAAATGATTCGAATGAGATTTGAATTTGAATTTATTATCTGTAGAGAAACCATAGTCAAGTGCGTTGGAATTATACTGTTATATATTAAAAATTGATCTTAAAAGGACATATTTGTGTCTTGATTTAACAACATAGAAAGAGAACGCCACAGAATTGCTATGAGCGTATGCAATACGAAATAGCAATAGAATGACGTCATTGAAGAAACGAACAAATAGAGAATGCACCTCTTTATTCGCGACGTGTAATAGTGACATGCTTATTTAATAGCCACTCTTTATAACGTAAAAAGAGAATGCTACACAATTGCTATGAGCGTATGCAATACGAAACAGCAATAGAATGACGTCATTGAACAAACGAACAAATACTGAATGTACCTCTTTATTCGCGACGTTTAATAGTAACATACCTTTTTAATTTGAACGGGGTCGTGTAATAGTGACTATTTAATTTGAACGGGTAATGTGAACGCAATGATTTTGACGTGGCAAATTAGTCGAAAAATCCAAACACCAACGGTGAATGTGTTAAGTCTTTGTATATTGGCATGTTTGTGTTGTATTTATTTTTGTTTTGCGGTCTCCTTTGACGTTCTGACTGTTACTGAAATACAAATTTCCGATTTTGTAATCCATGTGTTTTTTATATCTCGATTCAATATAATTGTACCAGCTGTTAACTGTCCACTTCTTTTTGTTTTTACACAACTTAGAATGGCAAACAAGCTGAAGGCCCACCTAATGGAAAGTGGTAACCGTCGCCTATAGACATGAGCAGTACCATGGACATAACAGAGTATACTGTTTTGCCCATGATACCCCCCCATGCGTTGCCATTCCTGAGGACTCGGGTGTTATTTCTCTGTACCCTGTAAATTGACGCCATATCCCACCCTTCAAACCGAAACACAGCCATGCAAACACAATTGCTTCACGGTAGAAACACGAATGGGACAGAGGTACTCAAGCAATCGACTTTTGTACAAAGTCTCCCTCTGGACATAGGCTTTTCCCTTAGGGGATTTTGGTAGTAGTTGCCACGCTTAGCAAGCGTTAAATTTTAGTATTTTAAGGGGGACACCGCTGCCCATCCCTGGACCGTTAAATTCTCTCAGTCGCCTCTTACTACACCCACGGGTACATCTCGACTAGGCATGGGTAATATCGTACTGCCCCAATATCTATATATTTGATTTCTTTTGGATATTGATAGCAAAAAAAAAAAATTGTCATCACCCATTTCGATATCGCCCATATCGGTCTGATATCTATATTATATCGGGTATCGGGCCAATATTTTTGTATCGTAACTAAAATATATAGTTGTTGCTTACCCACATCTAATTTCAGTAGAGATGACCAGACATACAAAATCCTATTTTCTGTATAAAATTACAGGCAATAACGACATTTGTCGCCATTTTTAACTGTCATTCGCCACTCGGGGCAAAGCTTGTCTCCTAGATAGGGTGCTGGTGCCCATAGCGTGATTCCCTTGAAATTATTAGTATACTAACGATCCCATGGTTTCGCGCTTCCATTGCTACTAATATACTCGATATCATTTCGTATCAGGTCGATATTTCCATGGAATCTACCATAACTCTGTCAGAGCGACCTCATAGAAACTACTGTGGTTAGATCCTGGTGGATTCTATTATCACACTCTGGTGTTCCGCTAATGTACACCGGTAGCACAGATGGCCTTATCGTCCCCCCCACCCATCACTCCCCACCTTCCGACTGCGGACGTATACGTACATTCAAGGAGACCGCGCAGCATGTGCCCTCGTACGTTGTGACGTAGCGGTGATTAGTACAAGCGTGTGGATGTGTGCCCTGTGCCCGTTCACCAGAGCACCCGTACGCAGCGGAGGGCGGCGCCGCCACCGGCTACGAGATGCGCCAGCTGCAGCAGCAGAACAGCCGCCTGCGGGACACGCTGGTGCGCCTGCGGGACCTCTCCGCCCACGACAAACACCTCATGCAGAAGATGCACAAGGTAATGCGGGTAGGGGGTAGCGCGGATGATTTCCGGATAGTATCATGAGTGCTGGCAGTGGAGTACAAGAGGTGCGTCTGCACCTCTCTGACGGGAAAGAAAATGCGAGTTAAAAATAGTTTTTTTTTTTATTGTAATCAAGGCTTAGGAATCGTAAGAATTATTAACCAGGAACAGAGCTACCGTTTGCCCGTATTTGTACAGACGGTGTGCGGATGTTTTTATCCATTTATTCATTTATTTATACACACTGTCCACGAATAGAACTCGCGTCCGGAATTTTCCGGACGGGGTAAAAAATAAAAATATAAAAAATGCTGGCCATATATAAAGTACACGTGAACTATAACGTATTTTATATCATCATATCAGTCTTGAACTGTCCACTGCTGAACATAAGCCTCTCCCTTGGGGGTTTTGCCAGTGGTTGCCACGCTTGGCGGGCAGATTGGCAACTGCTGTTAGGCTTTGGATATGTTTTAAGTGGGACGCTGCTGCCCATCCCTCGCCCTACCCTATTCGCCTCTTAAACATTCAAGGAAAAGGAAGGGGTGGCCTATTCTATGCCGGGACCACACGGCACCCCTTCCTATTTATATGTTTGAGTATTTTATATGATTGACATAAATACATGTTGATATTATTTAAATTATTGTGCAAAAATTAATCTCTCATTTGACTAAAGACTGTTATTGAATGACTCATGTATTTAATTTTCACTTTGCTACGTCACCGCCCCACTTCTTTTCAAGCGATACGTCTATGCGCTAGACAGCAGACTTGCATTGACTTCCTAGTAGCACAGTAGAAAGGACCAATATAAAATTATATTGGAGAGCTCGTTTTATTGATTCAAAGCCCAATTTCCCATAATACATTTATTCACTACAGGATTTGGAGCAATACAAATCGGAGATAGCCGAGCTGAGCCGCACAAAGGAGAAGCTGTCCAGCCGAGTCGAGGAGTTGGAGTTGCAGGTGGCCGATCTCCGCGAGCAGGTGGACGCCGCCCTCGGCGCTGAGGAGATGGTGGAACAGCTCGCTGAGAAGAAAATGGCGCTCGAGGATCAAGTAATAGAATAATCATCATCATTTCAGCCATTATCCGTCCACTGCTGGACATAAGCCTCCCCCATAGACTGCCATAAAGAACGGTCCTGAGCCACCTGCATCCACTGACTCCCTGCAATGCTTTTGAGGTTATCACTCCATCTAGTGGTGGGTCTGTGGCGTCTGTAAATAAATATTGTAAATATTCATCTCATAGCCACTTGTCAACATCATTACTTTCTTTTCCATCAAGTAGGTTAATTTAATTGTACACAGATGTTTCACCTCTTTCTTTCCTTCGGACTGGTCGTATAGACTTGACGACGACGTTTACTTCTTACATTCATTTCTGCTGTCATTCTCTCCATCTCGATCGCTCGCCTCTTACACGTCTAATTTCCGTTTTTATATATTACTAGTTGACCCCGTAAACGTTGTTTTACCACTTATTGCGAAATATAAAAATCGCGATTAAAATATAGGGGTTGATCGTGAAACGGTGAAAATTTGAGGTTGTATGTATTTTTCAATGCTAAATCATAATAAAATAAAAATGGAAAAAAATTCTCAAAAAAAAAATATAAAAAAAATTTTTTTGGGGAGGGTCATCCTTATCATTGAAGGGTATGAAAAATAGATGTTGGCCGATTCTCAGACCTACCCGATATGCACACAAAATTTCATAAAAATCAGTAAAGCGGTTTCGGAGGAGTTTGGTAACAAACACCGTGACACGAGAATTTTATATATAAGATTTTTTACGTACTCCTTTGTATATAATATTTACCTTCTGTATATAATAAATGTAAATAGACAAATTAGTTGTTATACTTATTTCCCTCAAACAACTATAGGTCGTCCAACACTGCGTTTACCCGTACGCGGTCGCCACTCAAGAGCCTTTCTTCCCCATCGGTTGTCGGTTCTTCGAGCTATGTGACCAGCCCATTGCCACTTGCTTATCCTTTATGTTAATCCTTAATAGAATCATACAGGGCCTTAAAATAATTCAAAGTTGGTTTGTTTGTATGTATATTTTATTATACACTTTACTTAATTGTATAGTAAAGTCTTAATTTTATTTTTTATACCACTGAGGTGGCAAACAAGCATACGGCCCACCTGATGGTAAGCGGTTACCGTAGCCTATGATCGCCTGCAATACCAGAGATATTACGCGCGCGTTGCCGACCCTGAAGAAACCTCTTTACCCCCTTTTTGAAGAACCTCATGTTGTAGTCTCTTGGGAAAACTTCGGCAGGGAGCTCATTCCACAACCAGAGTGTTCGTGGGAGAAAACATCTTTGAAACCGGGTCGTACGCGACCATTTAGGCTGTAAGGTATGAGGGTGAACTCCCTGTCGATGGCGAGCCGTACGATGGTAGAAAGTGGCCGTAGGCATCATATTGAATAATTCCTCTGAGCACAATCCGTTGTATATTATAGGGCACAGAGTTCTTAAGAAAAGAATGAGTACAATGGCGGAATTATCATGATTAAATGATTGGCCATGTCGTCTCCGTGTTCGTTCAGGGAGTCGTGCTGTAATAAAAAAAAATTGTTTCGTGCTGTGACCAGGTGGAACAGCTGAAGCAGGACGTGTCCGAGCTGGAGGCGTTGCAAGAGGTGCACGAGCAGCTGGTCGAGTCCAACCGCGAGCTGGAGATGGACCTCCGCGAGGAGTTGGAGATGGCGCACGCCGCCACCAGGGAGGTGGGTGAAACAGTATAACGCAATTTTTGATGATTTTTAACCCTCTCCAACCTCACAAGTAATGCTACGTAATTTTTTTCTGTACAAGGCATCATAATGTTTTACAATATTTCCCTCTCCTTCAAATTGCTTTACATAATTCTTGAACGTCCTCAAATCTTTTATTTAATTTACAATATATGTTGATTTGTTTACGTCATATCTTGCAAACTGAGTTAGAACTAATTCATGATATTGAGAATTGGTTTCATTCAGTTGAAATCCTTTAGTTTAGTTTAGTTCTAGTAACAATACGAGTACAATATGGAATATTCAACGTTGTAATATTTTCAAAATGGCCGCCGTCACAAAATGGCCGCTGTCACAAGATGGCGGATCATGTATTTTTTACCACAATATGGGTATCAGAAGGTTGGAAGAGTAGAAAACAATGAAGTCAGTGATATCATATTAAAATAAATATGGCGGATTACGGATTTTTTTAACTGTACACACATTGACGTTTTGTAGGCGGTTCGCGAACGGGAGGCGGCGTTGGAAACGATCATGGACCGAGACTCGACTATAGTGAAGTTCAGGGAACTGGTGCAGAAGATGACAGAGCAGTACGGCGAGCTGCGGGCACAGCTCGACTCCAAGCAGGGTGAGGCATTTGAACCATGGTGTGAAATCAACAAGCACTAAGCACTGCTGCTGAATGATGATATGATGATATTAAATGCCAGTGCTGTAACCAGCTCTCCTAGTAACAAATGAATTGTTGGTAGACACGTTTTCGCTACCGCACTCATGTGAAAGAACAAGACTTTTGATTTTGCTGTTTTTTCTTGTCTTGGCAACGCATGGGGAGAATCATGATCGAAAGAGTATACTCTGTTATGTTCTTGGTACTGTTCATGTCTATAGGCGACAGTTACCACTTTGCATCAGGTGGGCCGTCAGCTTGGAGCGTCAGCCATTCTGAATTGCATAAAAAAACCTGATTCACTCCACTTTCATTCATTATAACTAATGTCACGTCTGTACCCAGGTTCCCCAGCCCCCAGCTCGGAGCAAGAGTCGACCCCGGAGCCTACAGCTCGCAGTTCCCCGCCCACAGAGTTGGGTTCGCTGGTGCACGCGTCCAGGGCTTCCACCCGCTCCATCGACCTGCAGCTGCGGGCGCTCGAGCTAACGCAGGCTAGAGCTCGAGCTGACATGCTAGCGGCCTGCCTGCCGGACCACTTCATGGCCACCGCTGGTGAGTGAATGCCCATAAAGTACTAGGAGATTAGAAGCGTACAGGAGATGTAATTATGTAATTACTGTGAATGGACATTCACAAAATACTAAGAGAACAGAAGCACGCAAGAAATGTCTATTCTGTTTAAATATACAGTAAGTTCCTCTAAGTAAAATCCGAAAGAGAACTTGAAATGAAAACTGTATGGAACGTCTAATTGTCCAAGGGTCGTCACAAGGCAAACGTTCTCGGGGTAGTCTATTGTGGAGTGCTCTCCATCGACTGTAAGCAGAAGTAGATGGAGACCCGTTGCGAGAACCTCAATCGCGAAGGATCGACGATCCACAATAATGATAAAAACCGCGACTACTACTATCAAGAGTGTACGACTGAAGAGAGAGAGATAGAGATAGATAGAGAGAGAGAGATAGATAGATAGAGAGAGAGAGAGAGGGAGAGAATAGTCTATGGCAGCTCATAACATACTAGGATAACATAATTATGTAGAATTGTACCAATGATGAGACAAGCATCATTTTGCTTAAAATATGAACACACTGAACCAGAGGGAGACTTTGTATAAAAGTCAATTGCTTGGCTACCTCTGTCCCATTCGTGTTTCAACCGTGAAGCAGTTGTGTTTGCATGGCTGTGTTTCAGTTTGAAGGGTGGGATATGGCATGAATTTACAGGGTACAGAGGAATAACACCTGAGTCCTCAGGAATGGCACCGCACGGGGGGTATCATGAGCGAAACAGTACACTCTGTTATGTCCACGGCACTGCTCATGTCTATAGGCGACGGTTACCACTTTCCATCTGGTGAGCCGTCAGTTTGTTTACCATTCTAAGTTGTAGAAAAAAAAGAAACTTTAATTAAATTTATTGATATCTCACTTTGTTTATATTTTACATTTTTTTTTTTCATCTTTATAATAATTTTTATTCATATGTCGCCAATTTAAATTTCCTTTCTTCACCGTGGGTGTCGTAAGAGGTGATTAATGGGATTTAATGGTCGAGGGAGGGATAGGAGCGTCTCTCTTAAAACATTACCAAATTTTAACTGTACGCAACCCACCTGCCATGCATGGCAATTACTGGCAGAAGCCCCCTTATGGGGCAGGTTTATGTTCAGCAGTGGACAGTTAACAGCTACCATGGTATGAAATATGATAAAAAAAGTAAATATTGCAAACAAAAATATATTGCCATTAAAAAAAATTGGTATAACAGTTTTCTATGCAGGTGATATCGAAAACATAGCATCCTATTACATATTAGGCCTTATTGGGAGTAGTTGCCACGCTTGGCAGGCGGGTCAACAACCGCAGTTAAGCACTAATAATGTTTTAAGAGGGATGCTGCTGCCCACTCCCTGACCATTAATTCCCGTAGTCGCTTACGACATCCACGGGAAAGGAAGGGGCGGCCCATTCTATGTCGGGTTTTATTTTAATTAATGTACAATTCATTCCGCAGGCGACCACGACGCCATACTCCTGATCCTGCTGCTGCAGCGGTTGAACACCAAAGCGGACATCATACTGGGACAAATCCGGGAGAGGTGAGTTATATTAAGTATATTATAGGGATAGTAAGAAGCTTGATATCTTCCAACGATCCTTGCAATGTTACATTAAGGCTGCCAATTTGTTAATTTAAATTTATAGGCGTCATTCTTTTAATGTATTATAATATCGAATGTAATGCAGAGCAGTTGTCGGAGTGCAAATTTGATGCTGTTTCATGTAATATTTATTTTATTAATGTATTAATTTGTAATCTGTTGCCTTGCTATAAATAAATAAATAAATAATCAGTCATATCTGGGGGACAGTACTGAATTTTTCAGGGTATTCAGTATTGGCTTTCGAATCCAATTCAATAATCTTCTTCTCATTTAAGAGAATCCCCTTATCGGTGCAACTAATTCATCTTCCAGCCAGCTCTATTCCAGGCCATACCTTTGACTGTCCTATACGATATAACACCTAGTGTTGGGAACGAAGAGATTGTGTAAAACTGCGGACTGCCAGTTCCATCGGTAGCAATATTAGGTCACCCCTGGAAACCGTCGTGCTGAATTCCAGGCGTATTCTTTACTTTACGGTGATTTACTGACTGATCTTTCTATTCTCACCTATCATCCCTTTCTGGTTCCCCGCCAGGCCACAGGCAGGGTTGCCATTCCATTATCATCCATTAAAATATTTCTATCCACCCTATTATGAATAAAAGGAAATATAAGGCAAGAATTTTTACATTAATATCCGTTTGTGCATTACAGATTCCCAGCGGTGAACGTGTGGGATCGCGAGGCGGTGACAAAGACACACACAGCGGTCCAGTACAGCTTCCGCTGTCAGCTCGAGTATCAGCTGCACATGATACAGGTAATGGATGTGATAGGCATACGGCCCGCCTGATGGTAAGCGCTATTAGATTAATATTTTTTATTCAAATAAACATTATTATAAATATTTTTTAAATAGTATAATTTTTTTTATGATTCTATCTTGCTATTGGGACTTGCCGTGTGGTCCCGGTATAGAATGAGCCACCCCTTACTTGCCAGTGGGTGTCGTAAGAGGCGACTAAGGGAACTTAATAGTTGAAGGGCTGTGTTCCTTTTAAAATATCACTAAAATCCTAACTGCGGTTACCAACCCGCCTGCCTAGCATGATTTGGTACTTTATGACACTCTATGGAGGAGGCCTGTATCCAGCAGTGGACCAATAATGGCTGGTATGATGATGAATAAGGGACAGCGAGGTATGAGCAGCAGCGTCCCTCTTAAAACATCTCTGCGGTTGCCAATTCGCCTGCCAAGCGGCAACTACTGGTATAACCCCCCAAGGGGGAGGGTTATGTTCAGCAGTGGACAGTTAGAGGGTGGTACGATGACGATAATGTTGGTGGCAGTGCATCGTGTCAATGTGGAGCGCGGCGCTGGACAGGTGTGCGGCCGAGGTGCTGCTGCGCGCCGCCAGCGCGCTGCCGGACGCGCTGCAGCAGGAGCGGGCGCTGGACGCTGCAACACACCTGCTCAAGGGCAACGAGCTCGACGAGAACTGCAACCTGGACGGTCAGTAGCGACGACTGGCTACTTTTACCTCAGCTTCCACTATACCCCTCACTAGCCGATATGGATATTGTTACTAGCTACTTTTCCCACCTTTTACTAGTCTCTATGAATGAATGAATGAATGGATTTTATTGCAAAATGTGGTACAATAAGGTCATATGGTAGTTTTTTTTATTTTTTTTTTATTTTATTATCAATAAAAATACAAGTTACAGAATTTATGTTCCATTAGCATTTAGAAACCACGTAGGTTTATATTAATACTAAATACATTAAAATTATTTAGATTGTAAAAACAATTTTAGGATTAATACATTTATTTTAACATATCACATAGTAAGCCATAATATTCTGAATACCCTCTTGGCAATTTTTAACAACACTATAATCGATAATTATGTATATAAATTAGGACAATAATAAATTTAGACCATTGTAATTCTAATTAGGCAATTATAACATTAATATTTTTGAATAACCTAGTTAGTAAGTTTCAATTCTATAAATCACATCTAATCAGTAACATAACTAATGAATTTTAAGTTTAATAAATCATAACGGTACTTTCTAATTATAAATGAAATTGAATATTCTATACTTAGTAAAACTACACAGGGACCGATGTGTTCCCTTCCGTTTCTGTCGAGCGACTGAACCGCCTTTTTTTTCGTTGTCTAATATTTGCTTCCCGCTTACGGCGTGGCGGATGTTGTAGTGGGGAGAAATTAGTCAATTTCTCGACTGTTTTTTTAAATGACGATAACATCCGGCCGTCCTGCGACGCGTTCGTCCTCGAACGTGCGAGCTGTATATTAGAAATATATTCATAAATAAAAATATCAATATACGATTATTCTACTATTCTATGTCTAATCCTAAACAAATTTACAGTGTCAATACTACGAGCTTTCGACTGTCTGTGAAGTGTTTAAGCTAGATAACGTTCTGGTTACCCGTTACATCTTCGACAACAATCTCAAGTCATAATATCTGGCATCCCAGCTACTTCACTCAATAATTGTCCGCAAATTTTACTTAAGTAACGTTCTGGTTACTTGTCTCATAATAAGTTACGGTCAATTATGAGTTAGTAGCACGCAATCAAACAAAATAAAAATTTTATACAGTTAACACTTAAATCATGCACCTATTATGAGTAGCTATTACCTTTAATAATGAGATAACATCCGGCTTACATCTCGCTATGATTTTCTATCCGGATCCATGATTTCATGTTTTCTGCACAAGTAGTTCCATTGTAAACCTTTGAGCTTCTTTCGGATCCCCTCATATCAGATATTTTATACCTGTCCTTACCTAGAACTTCAGTGACCTGAAATGGACCCTTAAATAATGGCATTAGTTTAGTGCTTTGTCCGTCATTTACAGAACTTGGAATTCTAACCACTACCAAATCACCTACATTATAACCAGGTGCCTCTTTTCGTTTTGAATCAAATGAATTTTTTTGCCTTTCAGCATCTCGTTTAATATTTTCGTCCACTTTTTCCCTTAATGCCGTAACGTCAATCACATTTTCCTCGTGTTCATCAGCAATTTTATCACTATTCATGCGAATTCTGTAACCAAAAAAAACTTCGCTTGGGATGGCAGCAGAAGTTTTGTTAATCGTACTGTTAATTCCTTGTTGAATATTGGTTGTATGTTGATCCCATTTGTTGTTGTCTATGTCTGCTCCCATGCTACGTAATGCTTCTAATATGGTTCGATTATATCGCTCTACTTGTCCGTTTGAGCGTGGCATAGCAGTGGCGATGATGTGTCGTCTAATATTTCGTTCTTGACAATATCTTGTGAATATTTTTGATGTATAAGCACTACCTGCATCACATATTAACCGTTTAGGGTTGCCAAATATTTTGAATATTTTATTTAATTCATTTATCACTACCTTACTTTTGGTATTTTTAACCGCCGATATAAATACGAATTTTGTAAACGAATCAACCGCTACTAACAAATAGCTATTTTGTTTAGTAGACTTGACAAAAGGTCCCAAATGGTCCAAATGTAGTGTATGGAAAGGTCTTGCATATTTAGGAATTGGATATAAGAGACCTGGTTTTTTTCCATGTTCACTTTTATAATAAATACAGTTCAAGCAGTTTTTTATGTACTTGGAAACCGTTTTCTTCAGTCGTGGGAACCAATATTTTGAACGGATTCGATCTACAGTTTTATCAACAGCAAAATGACCTACATCGTCATGATTGGCTCGAATTATTTGCCATATACACAGTTTGGGTACCAACCAACGTCTGCCGTATTCGGTTCTACGGTATACTTTGTTACCTAGAATTTCATATTCACGGAATATTTGTTTATTCGCATCGGCATCCCCTGACATCAAAATATTCCTAATGTTGCAAATATTTGGGTCCTGTAATTGCACACTTAATAGCCAATCGCTTTCATTTATAGACATAACTTCAACATGGTTATATTGAATACTCATCTCTACAGGGTTGCGACTTAAAGCGTCTACATGTTTCATTTGGGTACCCGCTCTGTGTACAATATCCTATGAAAATTCTTGAGTCTGCAGTACCCATCTACTAATGCGTGGAATTATTTCTTTTTTTGTTAGAGCATATCGTACAGCATTACAATCCGTAATAATTTTGAAACTATTACCTAGCAGATAATGACGGAATTTTTGAAGTCCTACCACGATAGCCAGTAATTCGAGCTCAAAAGAATGATACTGTTTCTCCTCATTAGTCGTTTGTCTACTGTAAAAATAAACTGGTTTTTCTAAATTTTGTGTTGTTTGCATAAGTATACACCCTATGCCGTCCCGGCTGGCATCTGTATATAGGGTAATGGGTAAATTAGGATCAAAAATTGTTAATACCGCATTTTCTATTAACCTATTTTTTAAATTATTTACAGCTTTATCTTGCTCAGGACCCCATTGCCAGACTACATCCTTTTTCAGTAGATTTGTTAAGGGTTTACATAAAAGTGCACAGTCCTTTATAAATTTTCTAAAATAATTTATTAAACCCAAAAATTGTCTCAATTGATGGATTGTGGTTGGGGTTGGGTACTCTTTGACAGCTTTAATTTTTTGTGAGCTAGGACGGACACCATCCTTAGAGACTTCGTATCCTAAAAAAGAGACTACGGTTTTCAAAAAGGTACATTTATCTAAATTTATGGTAAGTCCGTTTAACTGAAAAAGTTCTAATACTTGTTTCAAACATGCTATGTTTTCCTCTAAAGTCTCTGTAGCTATCAGTAAATCATCCATATAGCAGATTACTTTACCAAAACGTAGATTTCCTAGAATTGTATCCATTAATCTTTGGAAAACAGCTGGTCCATTACTTAAACCGAACGGCATTCTTATAAATTCAAAATGTCCATCAGGTGTAATAAACGCAGTTTTATGTATAGACTCTGGCTTAATGGTAATTTGATAATATCCGCTTTTTAAATCTAATAGTGTAAAATATTTACACCCATGTAGTCTGTCAATGAGGTCTTCTATTAATGGCATTGGATATTTTTCTTTAATAGTAATTTTGTTCAGTTCCCTATAATCTACACATAACCGTTTAGATCCTGAGGATTTGTTAACAAGGAGAGCCGGGCTGGCGTATGCCGAATTACTATTACGAATGATACCATTTTTTAATAACTCATCCGTCATTTCTCGCATTATTTTTCTTTCAGATTCCGACATTCTATAAGGTCTACGGCAAATTGGTTTGCAAGAGTTTAACTCAATATCTAATTCGATGCGTGCGGTTTTACCAAGATTCGATAAGTCTCGAGAAAAGCAGTTAGGATATTTTGATAAAACCTTACGAATTGTAGGTTCATGTTGAAGAGGCACGTTATTTAATTTATATTCATCTATTTTTAAGATATTTAATTCTGTTACTGGTTGAAATGTTAATGTATCATTAACTCTAGAATACATTATACTAGTATCTTCCGTAAAGTTTCGTCCGATAAGAATATCACAACTACTCATACTATCGATAACGTACAAAGTTATGAATAATTCAACTGTATCAACTTGGATATTTAGAGCTACCGCTTCAGTTACTTGAACCGACGAATTTGTAGTAAATCCTACTAGATTAATCGCTGAATTTAACCGAAAAGGTGTGGTATCTAATTTTTTTAATAAATGTTTTGTAATTAGTGAGCAATCACTTCCCATATCAAAAAATGCTTCACAAGCCACATTATTCATGATTACTTTTTTATAAAACTTTTGTTTAGTTCCCGATTCCACGACAACTTTAACTTCAAGATTATTTTCTCCTTCTTCTCCCTTTACTTTTTTTTTTAGAAAACATACCTCTTCAACGTGACCTTGTTTATTACAAAATGTACAACGAACATTAGCATTACAATTCCTTCTTACATGACCTTCTTTGCCGCATCGATAGCACGTAATTTTTTTGTCTAAAGTGTTCCCATTGGAACTTAAGTCGACTTTATCATTATCGGTTTTTTTATTTACGTTATAATGTTCTTGAACCCTTCGACTATTATTCTGTTTATTTGTCAAAAAACCTTTTTGAATTAACGGTTTTTCCATTAAAGAATAATTTTTACCGTGCAAGAACGATGCTAAATCATCACAGTGTTTAAAATTACCTGATTCTGCAACCGTTTTAATGCTTGTGTCACCTATTGTACCCACTATTATTGACACGATATCTTGTTCCCTGAATCCTAAATGTAAACGATCTATTTTGCTTTTCTGTTCGAAGTAAAACTCGTATAAGGATTGACCAGGTAACGGTTTTGCATCTACTAATTGTTTTAATGCATTGAACATATTACGTTTAATTTGAAATGTATCGGACAACGTATCACGCCACTGCCGCCATTTCCAAGAAGTCCATATCGTTTTATTTTTTTGAAATGAATCTAACCACATTTTGGCAGTACCATTCAGTTTTTGTAACGCTTGGTACTTGATTATTTGATCAGACCAACCGAAGGCATTTGCATTTGATTCTACCACGTTTATCCACATATCGATATCGTCAACTAAGGGGTCAAACTGAGGAATCACCGATGATAATATTACATTTTGACTTACGGTTGGTGATCCCCCATTACGCCGACGCTTACTTTTTCTTCGCCGCCTTTCACGCGAAGAAGAAGATGACGATGACTGACTTGAACTCGTGGAGGTATCACGTCGTCGTGATGTTCTCTTTCGGGACCGAGGCATTTTGTGAGCGTCGTTTTATCCCACTTCTGATAAAAACAATTTTAGGATTAATACATTTATTTTAACATATCACATAGTAAGCCATAATATTCTGAATACCCTCTTGGCAATTTTTAACAACACTATAATCGATAATTATGTATATAAATTAGGACAATAATAAATTTAGACCATTGTAATTCTAATTAGGCAATTATAACATTAATATTTTTGAATAACCTAGTTAGTAAGTTTCAATTCTATAAATCACATCTAATCAGTAACATAACTAATGAATTTTAAGTTTAATAAATCATAACGGTACTTTCTAATTATAAATGAAATTGAATATTCTATACTTAGTAAAACTACACAGGGACCGATGTGTTCCCTTCCGTTTCTGTCGAGCGACTGAACCGCCTTTTTTTTCGTTGTCTAATATTTGCTTCCCGCTTACGGCGTGGCGGATGTTGTAGTGGGGAGAAATTAGTCAATTTCTCGACTGTTTTTTTAAATGACGATAACAATTGTATTAAAACCATACAAGAAGTATCGTTTTAATTTACACTTGATGTTGCTAATAGTAATATTATCTCGTACATCGGTGGGTAGTTCATTAATAAATCGAGGAACCAGGTAGTCAGCCGTACGCTCACCATAACAGTTATTTACGCGAGCGCTATTGGTACAAAGTTGCTTCCGTGCGACCGCCCTCGTATATACAGCATGATTAATTTCGTTCCAATATTTTTTGTTAAAAAAGTTTTCCTTAAGAAATGTGTATTTAAATTGTAGATGTACAGGTAAAATATTGCAATATCGAAAAAGTTTTATAATGGTTTCACATATTTCGTCATTACTGACGTGCAATAGTCATTACATAAGTTATGGCAAGATAATTTTTTAATATGTAATAATATAATAACATGTCAAATGTTTAAACGTTAATTGTACAGATATAATAAGAATTGCAATACAGAAATGTCAATATTTTATAATGTATCAATATTTTATATTTTGTAAATATTCCTGGACACTATAGTAACATTTATTTACTAGCCATTTATGTAGTTCTTTTTTAAATTTATTATAATATATCTATATATATCGGTTAATGTGTTATGTGTTGTTAAATTAGAACTATTTAAGTGATTTTATTCAGGTGATAGATGCATGAATAAAAAAGATATTAAGAGAAAACATTTCTTGTTCTGTGATTCATGAAAAATAAAAAGAATGACATTAGCGCTGTACCGGATGCGCTATAGGAGAAGCGAACGCTTTACGTATCATGTAAGTACCTGCAAGTGTTACAAACTCGACGAGAACTGCAACCCGGACAGTTAGTAGTATTGACTAGCTACTTTTACCTCAGCTTCCACTATACCCCTCACTAGCCAATATGGATATTGTTACTAGCTTCTTTTATCTCATTATTTATAATTTTTATTTATTTATTTATTTATTTATTTATTTTTTATTGTACACAAAAAAATACAACATATTATATATATAAAATAAAGATGTACAACAGGCGAGCTTAACTCTGTAAGAGCTCTCTTCCAGCAAACCCTGAGTGGAGAGGAGCATTAATTACCAGCGGGCAGTGTGCGTACAATAATAGAAGGAAACATTATAGATATTTCTATTAAAAAAATATGAAATATGTGGACATACATATATAAGTAACTCATACAATTAAAATAAAAATAAACACATATCTGTATACAATAATACATATACATTTTACCAGAAGGAGACTTTGTACATAAGTCGTTTGCTTGGATACTTCTGTCTCATTCGTGTTTCAACCGTGAAGCAGTTGTGTTTGCATGGCTGTGTTTCGGTTTGAAGGGTGGGATATGGCGTGAATTTACTGGGTACAGAGGAATAACACCTGAGTCCTCAGGAATGGCAACCCATGGGGGGTATTATGGGCGAAACAGTATACTCTGTTATGTCCACGGTACTGCTCATGTGTATAGGCGACGGTTACCACTTTCCATCAGGTGGGCCGTCAGCTTGTTTGCCATTCTAAGTTGTATAAAAAAAAAATTATACACTTTCCTATAGTGCTTCACTATAGATGGTGTCTCAGATGTTTTTTTTTTTTAAATTATGTTCAATTGATATAGTAGCCTTCAAATGATAATTATATATATATATATATATATATATATATATATATATATATATATATATAATTAAGAAAGAGAACATTTCGGGTTTATATAACCTTCGTAAAGCTAACATCTTTATAACAGCGTTAATAGTTCCATACAAAGTATCCATTTCATACATTATCATACATGTTTATACATGTGCAGGCATGGAGCGGTGCTGGACATACCTGTGTGCGATGTGGTCGGCCCTGGGCCTGTCGGGTGCGGCGGGGACGGCGGGGACAGCTGGGACAGCGGGCGCGGCTGCGGGCGTGTCACGTGAGGCGCTGCTGCACGCCACGTGCGCGCTGGACGCGCTGGCGCGTGCATTGCACGCCGATGCCACCGCGCTCACTTATATCCTGCAGGTTTGCTCTCACGCTTTATTCTAAGCCTTTTTTTTTTATTAAATATAAGTTTTTTTTTATACGACTTAGAATGGCAAACAAGCTGACGGCCCACCTGATGGAAAGTGGTAACCGTCGTCTATAAACATGAGCAGTACCGTGGACATAACAGAGTATACTGTTTCGCTCATGATATCCCCCATGCGTTGCCATTCCTGAGGACTCAGGTGTTATTCCACTGTACCCAGTAAATTCACGCCATATCCCACCCTTCAAACCGAAACACAGCCATGCAAACACAACTGCTTCACGGTTGAAACACCAATGGGACAGAGGTACGCAAGCAATCGACTTTTGTACAAAGTCTCCCTCTGGTAAACCCCATGCTGTAGTCTCATGAGAAAACCTCGGCAGGGGGCTCATTGTTTGCAGTAGCTTCTTGTTAGCTTATTGTTGTCATGTATAGTTAAGTTAATACAGGTGGAAACTTCCTTAAATATAATTAATTCCTTAAATATAATAAATAAATTTACATAGACATCTGGTCAGGATGGCAATGAAACGGAGAATGGTTATTTCGTGTTTTTTTTTAAGTGGTGAATATGGTATGGTAACCCCGCTTGCGCTAACGGGATACGCTGGCGGAGCACCAGTGAGGGATGATAGATGAGAATGAAAACAGGCCAGTTAGCCCATCATGATGAATTCATCAGGAATTAACCATGATAGTTTCCAGGGAGCATCGCGAGGAGGTCGACCTGGTTGGGTATATTGCTAGCAATGGGATTCTTAGTCCCCATTACTAACAATCCCTTTCCCCCCAGTTATTTTGTGTTACAGTCGTCGTTGTGACGAAATGTGTAAATAAATAAAGTGTTAAACAAAACTATTGCTGTTTCCAGCCTTCAGAACGCCAGCTGGAGCTGGGCCAACTGCACGAGTCCATCTGCACCTCCAGCGCTGCGCTGCAGCAGCAGCTGAAGAGTATCCGCCGACGACTGCCGCCCGGGGTCAGGCTAGACGCTGTGCCTCTCGACCCGCAGGTATTATACATCATATGCTGTGTTAAAGTGGCGCCCTCTGGTGTTACAAGGGATTCTAGGGTGTCTTTCTTATTATAATCTTATTAAAATTAGAAATACAGTGGTATCTCGATATACGAGTGCCCTAATATACGAATGTTTTGAGATACAAGCCGCCGAACGAGCGATATTCTGCTTTAAGATTAGATCAAGATTTGAGATACAAGCAATCGTACACTGCACCGCTGCACACGACCCCCGCATGCGGGGTGGATGTTGGTGTCTAACGGTTTCTCCCACCTCAGACTAACACTTAACAAAAACAACTCAGGTGGTTTTATGGGAGTACGAATTAATGGCATTTAAATTAATTTTTTTTTTGGTGGATGTAAATGGTATGGTAACCCCGCCTGTGATAACGGGATACGCTGGCGGAGCACCAGTGAAGGGTGATAGATGAGAATGAAAACAGGCCGGTTAGCCCATTATGATGAATCCAACAGGAATTAACCATGATAGTTTCCAGGGGGAACCGCGAGGAGGTCGACCTGGTTGGGTATATTGCTAGCAATGGGATTTTTAGGCTCCATTACTAACAATCCCTTTCCCTCCAACGTTTCCATTTATTTGAACGAGGAAAATTGCTTTGAGATACGAGCAATTTGACATACAAACAAGGTTATGGAACGAATTAAACTCATGTGTCGAGGTACCACTGTACTAAAGTTTGGAAGGACAGATGGATGTTTGTTACCAGGTGTATGCGTAATAGCTTCCGGGCATACTTTCATTCTGGACATTGATACCTATTCCGATATCTTGGGAGGGAGACTTTGTACAAAAGTCATTTGTTTGGACACCTCTGTCACATTCGTGTTCCTACCGTGAAGCAGTTGTGTTTGCATGGCTGTGTTTCGGTTTGAGGGGTAGGATATGGCAGTGAATTTACAGGGTACAGTGGAATAACACCTGAGTCCTCAGGAATGGCAATGAATGGGGGCATCATGGGCAAAATAATATATTCTGTCATGTCTGTGGTACTGCTCAAGTCTATAGGCGACGGTTACCACTTTCCATCAGGTGGACCGTCAGCTTGTTTGCCATTCTAAGTTGTATAAAATAAATCTATATTAATTTCGACAGGGTTCTCCATTTCGACGTTAAATATTGGCAAACAAAAATTTAACATATTTGTTGTTGGGCTAGTATATAGATCTATCTAAATTTCTTGCCTTGACTTCCACGAGACAGGCTTTGCCTAGTGTGGAGTCATAGCTATATTGTTCCATAGGCTAATTTTGTTAAAGGAAATAAAGATATTCTAAAGATAAAAGATATCTATGTATCTATCTATCCTATTTAAGAGCTGCGCTCTTGTCGGTGGCGCTCTTGCCACTCACTACGATTTTCAGCGAGTCTCTTCACCTCTTGATTCGACATGACACCATCTGCCTGATGTAACTATGTCTCGGTCTCCCTCTCCCCCTCCTTCCTATAGTATATAGATATTGTAATTAAAATATATAGATATTACTGTATATTATCCACCTCTAGTGTTTAGGAGTTAGAGGGTGAAATTATAGGGTACAGGGTATATAAGTAAATAAGTATGTGGTATCACACTCCAGACGCTTCGTACAAAAACACCACGATTCGTGTTCGTCACAATTATGGAAACAGTTTTTGTCTGTACTTTTTTTTAATAAGTGCAAATGGCATGGTAATTTTCCCCCAATCGACCTGGTTAGATATTCTTAGTGTCAATTACTAACAATTCCTCCCACCCCTATTGTCCGTACTTGTAACAATGTGTGCGTGTGTAGTTACGTTTAGCGTGCCAAAATAGTGATTGTATTGTGAGGTGTGTGTTGAGAGGGGGCGTGGGCGGGTATAGTTTTTTATTTTTATTTTTTACAACACGGGGCAAACAACCATGCGTCTCACCCGATTGTAAGTGACTACCGCCGCCCATGATCACCCACAACACCAGCGGCATTGCAGGTGTGCTGCCGGCCTAAACTAGTAGTGAGTGTAGTGTAGTGTAGTGTAGTAATGGCGGTCGGTTGGCGGCGGCAGGTGGTGGAGCGGCTGCGCGGCGAGTGCGCGCGGTCGCTGTGGCGCGGCGCGCGCGCGGCGTGGCTGGCGGCGCGCGCGGCGTGCGCGTGCGCCGCCACCGCCGGCGAGCGCGGCGAGCCCGCGCCGCTCGCGCACGCCGCGCTGCTGCAGCTGTGGGCCGCCGCCGTCGACAAGCTCTACCACCAGGTGCGTCGCACACTGCACCGGCCGTGCTGCCAGTCATGTTTCCAATTTAGAATGTTGCGACATTTGATGGGTTTATTTTGAAATTAGAATGCCATTGTACTACGTGTGCTGATAATTAAAATTTGAAATTAGAAAACGATGATACCAAGTGTGAGGGCAAATCAATTTTGAAATTGGAATATAACGATGTTAGGTATATTGGAAATAAGTAACTTGCTTGGAAATAAGTAACTTGCAACTAAACTGTATGGACTATGCTCTTTACCTGTCCAATTTGGACGAATTTTAAATTTACAACATTACGTATAGTGACAACAAAATTTTGAAATTAGAATGCTACTACTACTAGGTACTAGTCATGCTGAAATATTTATAAAAATATATTGTCATCTACATTTTTATTTCTGTTTATTATAATATTGTAAAAAAGAAACATTTGATTGTTTGTTGTAATGGATAAACTTAAAAACTACTCAGCGGATTTTAAAAATTCCTTTATTTATAGAAAACTATCAACGAGTATCATAGACTATATTCGAAAATTTTATCTAACCATACGAAATCGGACCAAATTACTAGTATAGAATATAATGGGATGAGCTAGGATATATTTGAAATTAGAAGATTAGGACATTTGTATCAGATATGCCGGCATTAAAACTTTAAAATTAGAAGGAAAGGGTAGCTGATGTGCTGGCAATTAAATTTTGAAATTAGAATGCATTGCACCAAATATGCTTGTACTTTACAATTTTGAAATTAGAATATAGTGATATTAGGGTATGTTCGAAAATTTATAAAAAACCTACATACTAAGTAACTCCTTACATTATATAGATAGTCTCCATACAAATGCATCGAGAAAAGCGGCTCAACTTTTTAATACAATTTTGCGTGATAAATAGTTACGAGTAATTCCTTTATAATTTCTATTTTATATATATATATATATACGAGGTCTGTCCGGAAAGTTCGTATAAAAGTGTTCTGGAATGCGAGAAAGAGGAGTGGGGAGGCCAGGTAAGCGCAGGACCCCTTCCTTATGTCCCTAACAATGCTTCAGTTCTGGTCTGACCGCCGTGCGGTGCGAACTGGCTTGTCACGCCATCTGTGAAGTTACCTCTTAACGAAACCCCGTCGGCATGGAGCCCGCTTCCGTTGAAGAGCAGCGCGTCGTAATCAAGTTTCTCTCGAAACTCGGCAAGAATGGCCGTGAAATTTTTGCCGATCTCAGAACAGTTTATGGGGATGATGCTGTGAAGGAACCAACCGTCCACAAGTGGCTAAAAAGATTCAGAGAGGGCCGAGAAAGCGTTCAAGATGACCCACGTTCAGGACGTCCTTCCACTTCACATTCCGACGAAAACGTGGAAAGAATTCGAACTTGTGTTAATGGGGACCGTCGTTTAACGGTCAGACAGGTGGCTGAAGAGCTTAATTTGGGCAAAACCGTGGTCCACGAAATTCTAAGAAACGAACTTCAAATGAAAAAAATTTGCGCCAAGATCGTTCCGTGAGTTTTTGAGTAAAAATTCCATTACGGTGACCGAACACCCCCCCCTATTCGCCGGATTTGGCCCCGTGTGACTTCTTCTTGTTCCCAAAAACCAAATTGGTACTTCGGGGGCGGCATTTGGGGGACATAAATGAGATAAAAAAAGCTACGACGGGGCAGCTGAGAAACCTACAACCAGAGGACTTTCAAGGAGCCTTCTCACAGTGGAAACGGCGTTGGCACAAGTGCATTATGTCACAGGGGGAGTACTTTGAAGGGGATAAAATTGATTTACCTGAATAATTTTAAAATAAAATTTTTAAAAAACTTTTATACGTACTTTCCGGACAAACCTCGTATATATATATATATATATATATATATATATATATATATATATATATATATATATATATATATATATATATATATATATATGTGTGTGTGTATAAAATACAGCATGAAGTTGCTAACTAAAATTATGTACCGCAGGACGACCACGGGCCAGTGCGCACGATCAAGCACTCGCTGGCGCAGGTGTCCGCCGAGGTCACCAAGCTGGCGAACTTCGTCCAGGACAAGGAGTACGACATGATGTCCCTCACCAACGTCGCCACGGACAAGGTAACGGATCGTCTGTTATATGATATGTGATACCGCCCATGCGTTGCCATCCCTGAGCATTCAAGTGTTATCCTTCTCTCTCTCTTTTCATTTAAGAGTTTCCTTTTGTCGGTGAAACTAATTCATGCATCTTCCTCCAGCCAGTTCTGTCCCAGGCCATATCCTTGACTTCCCCATACTACATGACACCTAGTGTTTCTTTTATCTGTCCCATGTAGTTATTTCTCGATCTTCCTCTTCCTCTTTTGCCCTCTATTTTTACTTCTACAATGCTCTTAAAAAATCGTCATGTCGTATAAGGTGGCCCAGCATTTTGCCTCTTATATTCTCTATTATTTTAACTCTCTTTTCAAGACTTCCTCATTGGTTAGTTTTTCTGTTCAGCTTATTCTCTGTACCCAGTAAATTCACTGCTATATCCCACCCTTCAAACCGAAACACAGCCATGCAAACACAACTGCTTCACGGTAGAAACACGAATAGGCCAGAGGTGCCCATGCAAACGACTTTTGTACAAAGTCTCCCTCTGGTATATTTGTGTATTTGTATATATGTATGTATATCTATGTATATGTATGTATGTATTTGTATATTTATATGTATATGTGGATGTAGTGACTAAGGATATATATTGCATTCAGACACTAACTTTGCTTGCAGAAATATTCTGATTAATCTTGCAGTTGAAAGACAGAAGGTAACTCATGAACAGCAATCGACAATAACATTTGATCCGTTTTTTTTTAAATATTTTACATTAGATAAGATTCGTAAAGACAGAAAGATAGATGTAAGATAAACTAAAACCCGAACGTCACAGTGTTTCTAAATTATGCAAACGAAAAAGAGTCTTAATATTATATTGACGTAAAAATTGTTGGCGCGGTTAAAAGGAGGTAATGGAATGAATCGTTTAAGTGGATTTAATTAAGTATATATTAGTAACTTAAAATATACATTTATATATACACATTATTGTATGTCTGGATATCTCTATATGTATCTAAAAACGAACAGAATTTCGTGCCTCCGAGCAAACTGTTTATAATTACTCCTCTCCATCCAAAGGTCGCCTGCAAGAGATCGCCTTTAGCGATAAGGCCGTCCATTGTTTTCTCATTGTGATTATTTCTTGTAATTGTTCGTATTTATAATAAGTTTACTATTGTAATCTTTTGGAGGAAACAATAAAGAGTATCTATCCATCTATCTATTTAGTGTGTTTCGATTGATTTTTTTATATATCATTGTTCATTTTTATATTTCTGGTGCAATAAAGAGTTAAAGAAATAAAGGTATCTTAAACGCTTAAGCTAGTTCTTCACTGAATTTAATTATGAATGTGCTTGCAGCCGACGCCGCCGGTAGTGGTGCGAGCCCAACTGGTCAAGAAGCAGCTGGAGGAGACCAAGACGCTCACCATCAAGCTGGAGAACAAGGAGGCCGATATCAAGGAGCTGAGGAAGGCGCTCAAGGTAATGGAGTTGTGTAGAAATAATAATAAACACGTGTAGTAAAATGTGCGTGGACGGAATGGCGGTCGGAGATTGATAGCTATATGGAAGGTTGTAGATTTTCTGGTAGTAATAGTAGTCAATCTGCGTGTGTTTTTTGTAATGGGTGATACTGGAATGGCAGCCCCTACTGCGCTAACGGTATAAGCTGGCGGGGCACCAGTCAGGGATGATGAAATGCCTTAATTCTCACCTTTAAAGGCATCTAGTCAATTAGCCCATCGAGACGTATTCCACTGGAATTAACCAAAGTAGTTTCCAGTGGAAATGAGTGAAAAAGTATCCTATATTTTTCTACATTCCATGTAGTAAGGTGCTGCAAACAAACAAACTCACTTTCATATTTATTAGTAAGGAATTAGAATAGAAATTTAGATAAATACTAGCTAACCCCGTAAACGTTGTTTCACCACTTATTGCGAAAATTAAAAACACAGGGGTTGATCGTGAAACGATGAAAATTTAAAGTTGTATGTATTTTTCAATGCTAAATCATAATAAAATAAAAATGGAAAAATTTGTCAAAAAAATAAAAAAAAAAATATTTTGGGGAGGGTCACCCTTATCATTGAGGGGTATGAAAAATAGATGTTGGCCGATTCTCAGACCTACCCGATGTGCACACAAAATTTCATAAATATCGGTAAAGCCGTTTCGGAGGAGTTTGGTAACAAACACCGCGACACGAGAATTTTATATATAAAATATAAATTATTTGCATTATTTACACACACACACACACACACACACATATATATATATATATATATATATATATATATATATATATATATATATATATATATATATATATATATACATAAATAACACATAAACAGACAACAGACATAAACAGACATAAACAAAAAAGAGATAAAAGATAAAAGAATACATATACAAAAAGAAAAAAAAAGGAAAATACGTAAATTAAGTAAATCACTTTATTCAAATAGCCCTGTTTACAAGTTCTTTTAAATCGTCAATATTTTTATAACTCTACTGTTGGGTAGAGTCATAAAAAAAATATAAAATAATAGAATCGAAAGAAATTCAACAGTTCTTTATTCAAAGATAAATTTCAAAGACAAGATAAATTTACATTTGTTTTTATTTATTTATTTATTTACTTACAAGAAACAAACAGTTTCGCCAGAAAATTTTTAAATACATTTATAAATTTAAAACTTTAGTTACCAAACGTACTACAAGTATCATTATCATCATTTCAGTCGTTATCTGTCCACTGCTGGACAAAGGATTCTCCTATAGATTGCCATAAGGAATGGTCCTGAACAAAAACAATCTATAACAAGAGTCAGTGGATGCACGTGCATCCATTTTTTTTAACGAATTAACAATTTGCTTGTATTTTCGTCTAAATTTATCAAAATAATTGTTATTCGTTAATTATAATAATTAATAATGAAATCTTTAAATTTCATTTTAAACAATTAACTACATTGTTTAAAATTAATCTTATCTTCAGTCGGTCAGCAAGTGGTCGCGTAATTCGTTCGCTCTCCCATCGACTTCGTGGCGCAATGGTAGCGCGCCTGACTCCAGATCAGGAGGTTGCGTGTTCAAATCACGTCGAGATCATATAATGTTCGCTTTTTGTTGTTGTTGTCAAATACATTTCTATTGATTTTTAATCATGTATTTTGGGAAATAGTTTACTATTTTTAATTTAATAAAAAAAATACATTTTTTTTAGTATAAATTAAATTATGTTATTATATTATATTATTACTTTAAATTATGTTAGTATAAAAGGTTATAATTTAATAAATTATATACCTGAGAGGCATCCGGTCAGGACGGCAACCAACCAGGGCATGGTTATTCTGTGTTTAACTTATTTTCCCAACGAAATGCCTTATCACAGGTGCATGGCCATTTTCAGCTATCATTTTTGTTTTAGTAAATAATTTTATACTTTCTACGATTCATATTACAAAAACGTGCCGTTCGAGCGATCTACTGTATGAAGAGTCGTGACTCATTAAGAGAGAAATTCAAAGAGGCAAATATTCTCACCGTTGCTTCTCAATTTATATATTCAAATATCCTATATGTTCATAAAAATCTTGACTTATTTCCAAAAAACAGCAATATTCATAATATTAATACTAGATTTAAAGACAAACTTGCTGTCCCCAAGTATCGTTTAGAAAAAGTTAATAGGTCTTTTATGGGAATAGGTATCAAAATTTACAATAAGATACCAAAGGATATGTTGGAATTACCCTTAAATAAATTCAAAACATCTGTTAAATCATATTTACTGAGCAAAGCCTATTACTCACTAAACGATTACTTGAATGACGAGTGTGCATGGCAATAGTTGTTCATGCACTGAATTTTCATTTAATGTTAGACATAGACACCTATATAAATATACATTGTAAATAAACTGGCTTTAAAAAAAAAAAAAAGTAATTCAATTGAGTTTCTTGCCAGTTCTTCTCAATTGGATCTATATACCGAACTGGACGGTAGGGAAAAAAATAAAATTATAATGTAAAAATTTGACGTTCATAAGCGGCTAAAATGTCCTACATGAATAAATGATTTTTGAATTTGAATTTGAATTATTTGTTTCGTTCATATTGATTATTTGATTCACCAGAGGGAGACTTTGTACAAAAGTCGATTGCTTGGGTACCTCTGTCCCATTCGTGTTTCTACCGTGAAGCAGCTGTGTTTGCATGGCTGTGTTTCGGTTTGAAGGGTGGGATATGGCGTGAATTTACAGGCTACAGAGGAATAACACCTGATCCCTCAGGAATGGCAACGCATGGGGGGTATCATCGGCGAAATAGTATACTCTGTTATGTACATGGTACTGTTCATGTCTATAGGCGACGGTTACCACTTTCCATCAGGTGGGCCGTCAGCTTGTATGCCATTCTAAGTTGCATAAAAAGAAAAACAGATTGTTTACAATATTTGACATGATGGGACTGAGTTACCTACCCAAGCAAACGACTTGTACAAAGTGTCTCTCTGTGTTTTATTATAAGGGGAATAAGGCTTTATTTTGAACGATTAATAGTAATTGTACTATTGCAGGGCAAGCAAGAAGAGCTATCAGAGATGCAGATCCGCCGGGAACTGGGCGAGCGCAAGCTGACGGCGAGCGCGAGGGATGCCGAGCTCCGCGCCGAGCAGCTGCAGAGGAGGCTCGAAGATGCACAGAACCAGCTCAAACGGTGAGTCTAGATGGTAGCTTGAGTGCATTCATTTATGACTAACGGCCCGTCCCGGCTTCGCACGGTTGGACGTTTTTACAACATTTTAAAAAGTGGTTATTGTGACATAACAATAATAGTTGGACATATAGTATCGCCAATTTTTTTATAGTTATTGAAATTTTCTTCAATATTGTAGAACATACTTTTGTTCTATCACCAATAGTTTCCGCAGCGCACGCGACCAAAGATATTTTATAGCATTTTTTTTATACCTTGAGTTACGTTACTAAACTTTTAGTAAGGATCCCTAATGTTTTCTAGCAATAAATATAGCCTACGTTACTCAGGGTGAATGTAGCTTTCTAATGGTGAAAGAATTTTTGAAATCGGCAAAGTAGTTTTTGAGTTTATTAATTACAAACATACATACACATAAAAATACAAATCTTTCCTCTTTATAATATTAGTGTAGACAAGGTCAACCGAGTCTGGCCCATTCTGTCGCACAGGGAGACAGAAAATTCGAAAATAATATAGTCTACTAGTTTTTAGCCAGGATTTTATTTTTAATGGGTGATAATGGTATGGTAACCCCGCCTGCGCTTTCGGTATACGCTGGCTCCGCCAGCCACTCGACCACTCCACCAGTGGTAGATGACTGATGAGGATGAAAGCAGGTCAGTTAGCCCATCCTGACGAATTCAATTAGAATTAACCACGATGGTTTCCAGGGGGAACCACGTGGCGGTCGACCATACAGGGTATATTGCTAGTAATGGGGCTATTTGACGCCATTACATCCATCTTTTTCTGGATCTTCCTCTGCACTTCATTCATCCATATTCATACGTAAATTTTCCTTTCTTATCACATTATCTTCTTTCCTGCTCATCATCATCATTAATTTCAGCCATTATCTGTTCACTGTTGGACATAGGTCTACCCCATAAAATGTCATAAGGAACGGTCCTCAGCCACCTGCATCTACTGACTCCCTGCAATACGTTTGAGGTCGTCACTCCATTTAGTGGGGAGGGTCGTCCTACACTGCGTTTGATCGTACGGGGTCGCCACTCAAGAACCTTTCTTCCCCATCGGTTATTGGTTTTTCGGCTATGTGACCAGCCCATTGCCATTTCAGCCTCCCTGCCCATCACATGTCCATAATTGCCCTTTTAAAAAAGTATATAAAATTCACATGTTTATCTCTTGCTCTCTCCTACAGAAAAGAGAAAGAGTTCGAAGAGACAATGGACCATCTACAACAGGATATCGACTCGTTGGAGAGCGAGCGTGGCGCCCTCAGGGACAAACTGAAGTTGTACGCCAAGAGAGGAGGCACCCACCACGGTAAGTTGTCATTCGAAGTTATATTCAGACTTAAAAGAATTTTTTTTATCGGATATTCATATTAAGCTGTGTTTCTAGAATAATCTAATATTTATTAAAACATAAGAATAAATTTATTGGGTAGAAATGGCACTCATATAAATATATATAATGATATATTTATTTATTTATGTCTCCTCACAAACAAATTTACACGTGAGGTATTTAGGAATAAATAAAATTAAAACTTAAATTTATAATAAAAAATAAAAATAAAATTTAATCACGGAACCCTCGCTTCGAGAGTCCGACTCGCACTTGACCGGTTTTTTTTTCATAAATATCTCCCATGTACAAACATCGTCCAGTTACAATACAGTACAACATAAATACAATACAACGTGACACGCACGCGAGTGAGCGAGACACGCTCTCTCGCTGCCGTGTCCATTGCTTGCTAGCCGTGACTGATAGGACGCGAGTTGGACGTGAACGCGATCTGTCTTCGCGCGTACATAGACATTTTTGAATTCACAGGAGTGCCAGTTCTACCGGAATATTTATTCTTATGTCTATTCATTATACAGGGTGTAATGGACAGATTGGAAAAAATTTAAACAGTGAATTTAGACTGTTATTCTGAATTGAAAACTAGTGGAAATTATTTCCGGAAAATTACATTTCTTTTTATGATTTTTTTTCCATTTTAAATCATGAAGTCTATGATTATATAAAAAAAAAATATTTTATAGTAAAATTACAATAAAATACCAAAAAAAAAAAAATCAGCAATGTAATATTCGTGTTAAAAACCTACCGCGACCCGTGAAATCAGCTGTGTAAAGTCAATACCACAAGCGTACGAAAACTACCTACGAAGAAGCGCCACTGACCGCGCGCTGTAGCTATCACGCGTCGTGTGTATCGTAAAATTTAAAATACATTGCGCGGCGTCAACACTAAGAATTGTTAATTATATGGCTGCGGTGCATTTCCCGCGGGAAAACAATCTGCCATCTGATTCAGACCGTTCATCTGAATCAGCTGTTTTCGTTTTGACCAACCTGTCCCTTCCACTCTGTATGTTTGTATTTTGATAAAAAAAATATGCTAAGATTGTCTACAAATTGTGTCAAATGTAAAGGGATAAATTATATATATAATAGTTTTTTCTCAAACATGCTTGGAAATGTGAGCATTATTTTGACAATCTTCTTGGAGATAAATCAAAATTGCCGTACTGGCCAGATACATGCGGACAGCGGCCGGCAAAAGTTGTATGAAAATCCACATCTGTCATGTTTTGCGGCCAGATAAATTACTATGTAAACTCATATCTGTCCTGTAATTTAAAAATGGAATGACCTTTTACTTCGAAACATAGCTACCGAGGAGGTAACTAATAAAATGATTTGTTTAAATTTCGAACTGGCTTGCAAATAAAAAGGTGTTTATTGAAAAATAAAAAAACAAAGGAATATTATGGCGCGTGAAAAATTATTATTGTTCGTTATTCGTCATTGAACTTAAAAAGTAAAATTGTGTTTTTGATTTCCGCGCATTGTTTGAGAAAAGTACTATACAAGCCTTGGCCACAACTAGGCATTGATGGACTCACGTATGCGCGCCTCGGCTACGCCTCGGCCCACATTTGCACGGTCGTCCATAAATGCCTCAGTTGCTGGCCGCTGCAGTAATGTACTATTATAATTTATCTCTTATTACTATTAGTATATAGTTGAAATTAATATAAGCTAATTATGGCCCCGTTAATCTTGTATGTACAATCAATTCACATACACAAGTAGTATACGAATCTATCGATGGGTATAGCAACTCTACCGTGTATATGAAATAGAATGAGACGGCATTATTAGGAGTCTTATTTTTTTTACTAATGCGTGCAGTGACGAAAACGTATCTAGCGATAGATTAGTTTACTATATCGTTGTTTCTTGTTATTGTTATTAGGTATGGGTAAATATTGATTCCGATCAGATATGTATATATTGGGACATTGATGGCGGGAAAAAGGTGATCGCCCATTTCGATATCGCTTATATCGGTCGGATATCTATTATGGAATATGTTAAAAGTCTGTAAAACCAATATTATTTTTTGAATAACAGTCTTTTAACATATTTGTTATTGGACCAGTATATAGATATTGTAACTAAAATATATAGGTACTGCTATATATTATCCATACAAGATTTTTTTTTAATTCCAAATGTTTTTTTTACAATCTATTTAAATATAACGTGTTTATTAGAGTTTTTATTTCATCTATAATATATACATAAGTATTTAGTTTGTTACCTTTTTTTTTATAGATTTGCTGCTATTAAGTAAGTCGTGTGAGATTTTTGAACGGTTTGGAGTGAACAAATAATAACGATAATAGGGTATATGCCTTAATTTTTTTATTTTTAAAATTTTACCATATTTAATAATAGATTTTTTTTAGTATATGATAATGAAATGGTAACCTCGCCTGCGTTAACAGTATACGCTGGCGGGGCACCAGTGAGGGATGATAGGTGGGATTGGAAAGGCAGGTCAATTCGCCAATCGTGATAAATACACCTGGCTTTGAGCACGATGGATTCCAAGGGGGACCACGTGGACATCGACCTGACATAGTATATTGCTAGTAATGGAATTTGAAAATTACTAACAATTCCTCCCCCCCTTCCCCCCCAAATAGAAAAATAGTAGGTACTAAAGAAGTAATAAGATGGATATCCAGTCCCGTCTCTCTTTAACTGCCTAAAACAAGAAATAAATTAATATAATGAATTTTGTCTAGTTTGTTTGTAAATTGTCCCAATATTGTACACCGCTCCACCCGCTAACATTGGGGGGAAAGGGATTGTTAGTAATGGAGACTGAGAATCCTATTGCTAGCAATATACCCAACCAGGTCGAACTCCTCGCGGTTCCCCCTGGAAACTGTCATGGTTAATTCCAGATGAATTCATCATGATGGGCCCACTGGCCTGTTTTCATTCTCACTCTATCACCCTTCACTGGTGCTCCGCCAGCGTATCCCGTTAGCGCAGGCGGGGTTACCATACCATTTTCACCCATCAAAAAAAAACCCGCTGACATTGACGTTCCTTTACATTTTGGGTGCTGCTGGAAGAGAACTCTATTAGAGTTAAGCTCGCCTTTGTACATTTGATTACCTCTGTCATACTTTAATGTACAATTGGTGTGTACAATAAAGTATAAAGAAAGAAAGATATTTAATATAAGACGAGATGTTACAATTGTTTGAAACTATTTAAATTAATTAAGACTGTTTTTTTTTGTTTATTTTTTGAATATTCTGGCATATACCGTATTGTTCAATATAAAATGACTAGACCAAAGACGTGTTCGCTGCGCCAAAAATGTAACAAAACAGGCGTATTGCAGGCGTTCATAGGCTACGGTAACCGCTTACCATCAGGTGGGCCGTATGCTTGTTTGCCACCTCAGTGGTATAAAAAAAAGCATTATTTGACTAATAATAGTAAAACAAATAGCACCATGGTTAGTTTTAAACTTTTAAGTTGTTTAAACATATTTTAAATACATAATTGGGACTTGACGCGATGGAAAAACCTTGACAGGTAATAGTAGCTACATACCTGCTTCTTTATTGTCGAATTTCCTGTCGCGATTTTTTTTTATACAACTTAGAATGGCAAACAAGCTGACGGCCCACCTGATGGAAAGTGGTAACAATCGCCTATAAACATGAGCAGTACCATGGACATAACAGAGTATACTGTTTCACCCATGATACCCCCCATGCGTTGAAATGAAATGAATGTGTTTGCATGGCTGTGTTTCGGTATGAAGGGTGGAATATGGCAGTGAATTTACTGGGTACAGAGGGTACATTTGAGTCCTCGGGAATGGCAACGCATGGGGTGTATCATGGGTGGTGACAGTATACTCAGTTATGTCCATGGTACTGCTCATGTCTATAGGCGACGGTTACCACTTTCTATCAGGTGGGCCGTCAGCTTGTTTGCCATTCTAAGTTGTATAAAAAAAAAAAAAGTTTTTACTGCATAATAAAATGTTACAAACCCCCAATATGGCCGCAGCGAATATGCCTTATTTATAAATAGCATGCATAGTGTTAAAAACTTACATTATTTAATAGACTTAACAGAATTAAGCTAAGTTAATTATAACAAAGCCAAGATAAAACCATGAGATTAAGTGAATCGGGTAGAAGAGACACTCAAGTCTCGCGTTCATCTTTGTGAATGAGGCAGTAAGGTCAAAATGTATCCATCTTCCCGTCAGACCTCGTCTGGTTTGGGATCTTCTTCCTTCCTTTTTGATAATCCGCTTGTCAAATATAGCAACTATTGGCAAATCCCCCCAACGGGGAGACTTATGTTCAGCAGTGGACAGTTAAAGGCTGGTATCTTGGTAAAGATAGTTTATAACAGTACTAGACATAAGCGGGTCGTAAACGCGCCAACACATGTTTTATTGTTTCACGGCAGTGTCTATTCTACCCGGATATTTATTCTTATGGCAACACTAGGCTAATTGTGTGCGAAGCTAGTCATACTAAGAGTTGTATGTGTGACAGCGGCGGCGAGCAGAACCACGCTGGACTACAAACGTATGTAAACGTAACATGCATGCCTACCCTTACACTTCAATGTTATTAATGATAAAGGACTGACAGCCCTAATCCAAGACTTATATTCATTATTTATTTATTTATTTAACTCTTTATTGCACCATAAATAAAAATATACAATGACAAGTGAAATAATTCAATTGAAATACAGTAACATAAATTTTTATGTATTATTAATGATTTAGGATCGGGTCGATTTTAATGGTTGAAGAATTAAACATGACATTATTAATGATTTAAGACTGAATTGATTGAAATTCGTGATTGAAGAATGTTACATAGATGACTTAACTGTTGTGGTTCAAAAATTTTACATAATTGATAAAAAACAGAGCAGGGTTGGTTTCTATGGTTGAATAAATTAAATATGACATTATTAATGACTTAATATTAAATAGATTTTTATTTATGTATTTATTTACATACATGTTTTTGGTGAGTTTTACAGGTTTTTACCAATGCACTCACTAAATATTAAAAAAAAAATAAACAATATAATAACACAATATTGAAATAATAATAATATTAATATAAATCTAATTATGTTATAAAAAATAAATGTTAAAAATGCATTTCTACGTAATTTGTTACCGCTCTACGAAACTCTGTGGCAGTACAGTGAAATAAGTCCAGATTGGAACTCGCTACTACCTCAGCAGACGTAGCGCCCTCGTGAGTGGCGCCTGATCAGCATGAAATGTCTTGTTGCTTGGTAGGGCAAATATTTCGTGATTACGGTCAAGCTTGTTGATATCTAGGACAGACATGCATGTAATTGCAATGTAATTGCAACTAAGAGTAGGGTTGTTCTCCGTGGTTGAATAGTAAAATATGACATTATTAATGACTTAGGACTGAATTTACTTTAGTGGTTGAAGAAATTTACGTAACTGACAACTCAGAGCGGTAGTATATTATGTTCACGTACTGGCAGAGTTATGTTCACTACAAGAGCAGGCTTCATCTCTGTGGTTGAAGAATTAAACATGACATTTTAATGACCCATGATTGGGTTAACTTTATATTATATTTTAATAACTTAAATATTATATTGTTAATCTATTAGCATTAATATCTATTGATATATAAATAACTATTGATTTATGAGTTATTTTTATATATAATACATATATATTTATATAATTAATAAATAAAGTTATTATGTATTAGTTATAAATCAAGGCAGTATTGATTTATATGGTAATTTAATTAAAGGTGACCTTCTTGACAGTTTGACTGACTTTTCTAGTTAAGAATTAAATACATTATTAATGACTCGGGACATGATAAAGTTCTGTGAATGAAGAATTAAATAAGATATTATTAATGACACGACATTAACTTCTGTGGTTGAAGAATAAAACATAACGTTATTAACGAGTCTGGATTGGACTAACTTAAGTGTTTAAACATTTAAAACATTATGTTTATAATTGTTAGGTGAAATTGATTTATGTGTTTTATTACAAAAAAAAAATTACTATTAGACGGTTCAGGGGTCTAAAATAGTCACTTTAGTATTTGTACTAATAACACTAAATCAAAATCATACTAAAGTGACATTTTAGACAGTCTGACTTAAACAGTAACCAGAATGAAAGTTTAAATAATAGAATCAGATTAAGTTAACTAACTAATGTTACTATGCTAACTGTGTCGTTACTATATGTCTAGGTTAATTAATAAAACTCAATTTAATGTTAATTTTAAACCACTTTTTAATACAGCCTGTATATTGGTAAAATCAAGGTAACTAATCTGTCATAATTAACAAGTTAATCTGATGTAAGGTAAATTAAGTAACATTTTTTTAATACAAGTTGTATGCGGCTTAAGTAACTTATAAACTTAATTTAGGCAACCCTGTCAAATACAGACTAAATGTGGCTGAGGTTAAGCTAACTTATTAACTTAAAATAAGTTAAATTATACAATCTTTATTATAGTTATAGCTAAACTCAAGCTAGCTAATATGCCATAAGTCAAAAATTAAATCGGGCAACCCTTTTATTACTATAGTCTGTATATGGCTGAAGTCAACTAAGTTATACTCGTATAAGTCATCAGGCTAGCGTCGTCTGTATACGACTAGTTAAGTTAGCTAATGTGATATTTATTTATTTATTTATAGGATTACCAACATAAGATACAGCTAAACATTTTAGTACAATACACTGGTAGATTAGATCTAACTGTTCTTACATTTATAGGCAACCACAGAGTGCCTTGTGTTTGATAAACATTAAAATAGAATTAAATTGTAATAAGTGAATATATTAGTCAACCTTTACAAATATTGCCTAAATATGGCTAAATTCAAGTTAGCAAATTTGATGTAAGTTAATTGGCTAACTAAACTTAGTTTAGTTAGAAAGTTTTTTTACTGCAGCCTGTATTACTAAAACCAAGCTAGCTAAAGTCATCAAATTAACTAAGTTAAATAAGTTAACATATGTTAAACTTCTTCTCTTATCTAGCTAATATAAGTAACTAACTAACTGGCTAACTAAATATAGATGCATAAGTTAAATTTGTTACTTTTTCAGTTATAAACTAAATATATAACTAAAGTTAAGCTAACTCCAGTGTCATAAGTAAATAGGCTGACTAATATAAGTTAAATTGCTGCTGGTGTCAGACTAGCTATAATGATATAAGCGAAAAAGGCCAACTAAGCTTAACTAAATTAAATTAAGTAACCTTTTTAGTTATAGCCTAAATACGTCTAAAGTTAAGCTAGCTAAAAAGATATATAAGTAAACAGGCTAACTAAACTAATATAAGTTGAATTAGTCAAATGAAATGAAGTGAAATATATATGTCATTTAGTCAGACATTTAACATAATAAAGGCCATGTGACAGTACTTTTTTGGCATATGTTTTATTGCCTTAAAATTGTAGGCATGTATTAAATAAGGATGTATCGTTAATGTTGGTGATTATTCTATGTATATGTGACAGCGGCGGTGTCGACGCCCGCGCGGGACTACGCACGTAAGCAGCAAGCTATAGCCTGCTAACTCGCATGCTTTGCTTGTTCTAACTATGTGTAATGTACTCTGTCTGTCTGGCGATTGATTTGTATCATCTAATTGTTGGGGTAAGTTTACACTGGGCCAATTACTGGCGTCAGTGGCTGATCTAGCTATTTTGAATGGATTCATGTAAATATATTATTGTTATATTAATTCCCTCCAAAAAATTATAAAGATTAACAATATGGACACAAATAAATATAATTCTTAATTACATAAACTTTTTTTTGACTACGATTTTGCTGCTGCGAGAAGAGATATTGTAATGTTGAATGCGAACGTATGGTAGTAACGTCGGATACTTTTAAATAATATGAGTTAATCAAAACTATTGGAAATTGTTTGTTTATGTAAACTAGAAGGTATACCCGACGTTAACACACTTCGATATGAACGTTCTTAACTAGACATAGGTAATATCTAATATTTATATATTGAGTTCTGTTTTTTTTTTTTTTATACAACTTAGAATGGCAAACAAGCTGACGGCCCACCTGATAGAAAATGGTATCCGTCGCCTATAGACATAAGCAGTACCATGGACATAACAGAGTATACTGTTTCGCCAATGATACCCCCCATGCGTTGCCATTCCTGAGGACTCAGGTGTTATTCCTCTGTACCTAGTAAATTCACGCCATATTCCACCCTTCAAACCGAAACACAGCCATGCAAACAACTACTTCACGGTTGAAACACGAATGGGAATTTTGTACAGTCTCCCATTGATGATCATCCACTTCGATATCGCCCATACCAGTCCGATATCGTTACGAGCGAGTTCTTAAATTCGATATTACGTATTGGATAACCGGTAGTTAATATATCTGCTATTGGGCCAAAATATGTATAAATATTGTAACTACAATATATAGATATATAGTACACTCTGTTATGTCCATGGTACTGCTCATGTCTGTAGGCGACGGTTACCACTTTCCATCAGGTGGGCCGTCAGCTTGTTTGCCATTCTAAGTTGTATAAAAACAAAAATATAGATATTGCTAGATATTACTCACTCTTATTCTTAACTCGCTAAGAACTAATTTCGCTGCAGCACGCATATGACTGATTCGTGTCTACGTAGTCGGGCACTGGTTGCCGAAAACTAACATGCAATATTTACACAAAGTCCATGAACTGACTCCAAAAATATTTACCAGGAATTCTGTAGTGTTATGCTGCACGTACTTGAAATTAAATTACACGATGGCAGGAACGGACTAGCACTGATCGGCCACTAAATTGGAGACAGTAACTAACCTAATGTAAATGTACCCTCAAGATTTCCGCATTCGAAGGGCAGTCCTCGGCGTACTGTTTTATTAGTTGAAATACAACACAATTATATTACACACCGCACACGAGTCTATGTAAGACTGCTGGTTACACAATGGGGAATATTGTCCCCCGAGAACAACAAGTCCCTCGTCTGCGGATACCATAACGTTGCGTAATCATCGAAGTGTAATCATCACAAAAACGAGCATTTATTAATTTTAATGCGCGTTAACTTTTTTTTTAATGTTAAATTGTTACATATATATCCTATTTTTAATGTAACAATTACCGGTTTAACCCAGTGTAATTAGATCGAGAGAGCTCGACTAGTTTCGGGATCAATTCGTGATCCTTAATCATGAGCGGCTGTGGTGTGAGTGCCGGACTGACAGTTATTACATTAAAATATAATGTGTGCTTATGAAACTTTTAACAATAAAATAGCCTATTTTATTTTAATAATATTTTATGAAAATGTAAATATAATGGAATCGACAATAAGACAGTCTGTTGATGTCCAATAGTAACAAATAATTAAATTGTGGTCCACAAAAAAATTAATGTAAATTGTGACAAAACCAATTATTTTGATTTAATAACTAAACTACTAAACCGATTTTGATAAACTTTTTATGGGACCAATCTGTAAGTATATCCTTTCAAATAAAAAAAAGAATTTACCAAATCGGTTCACAACTGACGGAGTTATGAGGTGACAAACGTAAAATAAATAAATAATCGAATTAGGAACCTCCTTAATTTTTTTTAAGTCATTTGAAAAACCATATTAACTACTTGTATATTTATATTTTTTACTAAATACATTTAAAAAAAAACTTATTATATTAATAAAATTTGCTTACACTTTCATTAATTTCTATCGAAATAGATTTTAATGTAACACCATTTGTAGGTATTTTCAACTAATAAAAAAGAAATGGTTCTCAATTCGTTTATATTTTATTCTTTTCTATGTTTGTTATCTTATAACTGCGTCAGTTGTAAAATGATTTCAAAAAGTTTTTTTTCCTGAAAGGATATACTTACACATTAATCCCATTAAAATTTTATTAAAATCGGTTCAGTAATTTAATTTTCAGATCAAATTATCTTGTTTGGTTACAATTGAAATCAGTTTTTTTTTATGGGACATAATTTATAATTATCTCGGTCTGTACGCACCTTTATATGACATGTTACAAAATGACCCTTCTTATCTGTAATCAGTGTATTAAACCAACACCAAGTGCCCGTAATCTAAACATGCACACGTCCTAACCTGCACGTTCGTTGTGAATGGTTCTAATTCTAAAGCGCCATGTCTCTAAACCTATCTTTAAAGTTAAAACTTCAATTTGATATCACAGCGAAAATCTATGTTGTAAGGATTAATATGACCTCTATTTCTAATACATTTAAGTGGAAATTATTATAATTTTAGTTTATGACGGTCCATATAACAGTAGTTGCGCAAAATTATCAAATTGACGTATTAGGTTAAGAGGTAAGTTTAGAGACGTTCTCAATGTTACATTACAAAAAATTTCAAGTCAGTCGCCAGCTTTATATCTACATATGACTATAATATATGTAGGTATTTTATGTAATTTTTTTTTTAATAATTATCTAACGAATGTATTGAGAATATTTGGCGATGAATATTAATTTTTATAGTCATGAAATAGAATTTTTTATTAAAAACTTTACATTACGCTTTTTTAATATTTTTTATAACGTCATAAAAAATTTACGCTTTTTGCCGAAGTTTATTCATTTATATAATTTTTTTTTTATGATATAATAATGATATGAATCTTTTTTTTTTCTTTAAGTTAAGGTAACATTTAAAAAAAGTGCTTTTATTATATTTTGATTAAGTAATATAAGAGTATTTTAAAAGATTACTTTATTTTTAATATTGAAACATAGTTGCTAAATGTTTTTTTTTATCATGCTTCATAAATAGTGCCTTACATTTAAAAGACAACAATAATTAATTGTAATATTTAAGAAGTGTAGTTTTTAAGAATTAAGTAAAAATAAGTACAAGTTTATAGTTAAGTACATTGTCCAAGTTTGTAAGTTACATATTTTTTAATAATAACTTGAATGTCGGCTTTATCTAGTCGGGCAACCCCGTACTTGTTATTATGTTAGAATAAATTTTACAATGTCGCGTTTAAAGGACTTGCATCCAGAGCCGTAAAACGTATTAATAAAAAAAAAATGAATAAAGTTGATATAAATATTTTTTATCGCTCGCTTCGTATAACCGAGATGTTAAGTTTTTTTTTTTATTAAAGCTATAACCTTGCAGTTTAAAGTCACTGGCAGTTTGGCTTTTTTTTCTAAAAAAAAAAATAGTTTGTAATAAATCCTTTTTTAATTGGCGTAGCGGTGGTGACACCTGTGTCGACACAAAAAGAGATGCCGCGTAAGATTTTTAAAAATTTATTCGATGTTTTTAATAAATTTATGTTCGGATAATATATGTTCGGTATTGCATGGGTACATTTTTTTTTCTTAATTTGCAAGCAGTCTCGTGTTATTTATGTAGTGTATAGTCTAGGGGCCGGTTACGATTTATATGTTATTATCGTTATATTTGTTCTTTTTTTTAAATACTGGTACAGTGGTACCTCGATATACAAGTGCCCTAATATACGAGTGTTTTGAGATACAAGCTGCCGAGCGAGCGATATTCTGCTTTAAGATTAGATCAAGATTTGAGATACAAGCAATCGTACACTGCACCGCTGCACACGACCCTCGCATGCGGAGTGGATGTTGGTGTCTAACAGTTTCTCCCACTTCAGACTAACACTTAACAAAAACAACTCAGGTGGTTTTATGGGAGTACGAATTAATGGTATTTCAATTAATTTTAATAGGGAAAATTACTTTGAGATACGAGCAAAGTTAGGGAACGAATTTTATGTCCACAGCTAAACATAGGCCTCTCCCATAGACTGCTATACCAAGGGTCTAAGTGTTTACCTAATATTATGAACATGGGTTAAAGTTCCATTAAATTATTTTACCAGAGGGAGACTTTGTACAAAAGTCGATTGCTTGGGTACCTCTGTCCCATTCGTGTTTCAACCGTGAAGCAGTTGTGTTTGCATGGCTGTGTTTCGGTTTGAAGGGTGGGATATGGCGTGAATTTACAGGGTACAGAGGAATAACACCTGAGTCCTCAGGAATGGCAACGCATGGGGGGTATCATGGACGAAACAGTATACTCTGTTATGTCCACGGTACTGCTCATGTCTATAGGCGACGGTTACCCCTTTCCATCAGGTGGGCCGTCAGCTTGTTTGTCATTTTAAGTTGTATAAAAAAAAAGTTATGCCAATCATAGCTATTAACATACTAAACGTAATGTTTGTCATTTCTTTGTTTAATACATTTTAATACATTAATAATTTAAATGGATTTTTTATTGTTGTCGTATAAATTGATATCAGCCCCTAGACTAGTCCGTTAGTTTTGTTTACTCACCAAAAGCGAGGGAAAGGTATAGTGTCGACTTAATACAGAAGTAACTGAAACGAGCTTTATTTATATGAATGAATTAATTTTTTTTATGTTTATAATTTTGTCAATAATATGCATGACTATATACAGGGTGTTAGGGAAAAGGTTTTCAAAATATGTACTGTGATAACGGATTTCGCAAACGATTTGCCGCCCCCCCCCCCGCTTCATACGTCATTTATCTAGAAAAGACCCACTAATCTCTCGAATTGGAAATAACTATACGTTTTGCAAAATTTCATCGAAATCGGTTCAGCTGTTTCGAAGATTAGTGTGACGAATGTCGTGACACGAGATTTTTATACACGTATTAAGATTTGTGATGAAATAATATGATTGTATGTGTATTGTTAATTATAAAACACTAACACAGCCGTAGTTGAATCGTAAAACGAACAATAGTTTCCCATATAAAATGCTTTGAACGGGCAGTTTATCCCATACACCCTGTATAATGATTGTGACGTCATACTTCAATAACTATTAAGTACATTAAGTTGTATGCTTGAACTGTAACAAATTCCCTAAAAAATAGAGCAATATTTGTTAATGGGGACTAGTGGCCCCATTGAAATTAAGTAGATTCTTATCAGCTCGACCTTCACACGGTCCGCGTGGAAACTGCCGTGTGAGCTCATTGAATTCGTCCCGATGTCCAACTGACCCATTATTCCTCACTGGTGCCCCGCCAGCGTATATATATATATATATGTATATATATATATGTATATATATATATATATATATATATATATATATATATATATATATATATATATATATATATATATATATATATTACATTTTATTTATTTAATTTGATAAAGGTACTTTCTTAATTATACGCTACTATCATACCTACTTGTACAACAATTAGTCCATTACCTTAAGGTTGTCCTGTAAAGATTGCTCTCAGCAATAAGACCGGCTCACTGTACTTATACAACTGTATCGTTACATTTATTAATTGTCTCGCTTATTCCCTATATTGTATAATGCAAATAAAGTATACACATTCATTCATATATTGTAATTTCAGAGGCCTCCGTATCATATTTTTTTATAAGTAAAAAATAGAATATTTAAAAACAAAAGAGTTCCATACGGTTATATTTTTAATAATAGCTAAAAAGTAGAGTACATTCAAGCATACAATTTAGTATTAAGCTTTATTACTCTATGGTTATTCTCTTGTTATGGCGGGAATTTTTTATTTTTTAATCTGTACATGTTATTAAAAAATAAAAAAGTTTCCGACCTACCATCTAATACGACTAATGCTAAATAATAAATATATAATAATATAGTCTTATAATTGCTTACAGTGTTGTGAAATTTCTTTAATTTATTATTAAATATTATATTAAAAAAATATCCTTCTCTTGTTAAAGAAAAAAAAAAAAAAAAAACAAAGATTTGATTGTATAAAGAATCAAAATCAAACTCGAAATCTTTCAGCTCTTTGTAATATTATTTTTTATATCTTTTTTTTTTAAAGTTATTTGTCAATTTTATTAAAAAAAAAAATTATATAATATCCTATTGTCTGTGATTATTTTTTGTAATAAATGCATTTTTTTTTTCAATTTAATTTAGAACAATTGTAAAATAGTTTCAATGTTATAAAACCGCCCTTTGTAATCACATCGTCTTAGGTGATTTTTTTTATTATATTTATAACTGATAAATGAATGAATAATAATAATAATTTTATTGTACAGAGGAGACACCTATGAAGGTGGCTCCAGGGGTCGCCGCCGGGGAAGTGAACGAAGCTCTGCAGCATCAGCTCAAAGTGCTTAGTTGGTGAGTGTTAATATATTTCATTTTATGCAACATAGAATGGCAAACAAACTGACAGCCCACCTGATGGAAAGTGGTAACCGTCGCCTATACACATGAGCAGTACCATGGACATAACAGAGTATACTGTTTCGCCCATGATAGCCCCCATGCGTTGCCATTCCTGAGGACTCAGGTGTTATTCCTCTGTACCCAGTAAATTCAGGCCATATCCCACCCTTGGGCCATGAATCACAGTGGCCTGAAGGCATTATTATATTGGACTCGAAGAGCATTGTAAGTTTTTCGACTATAGCTGATCCACAAGCTACTTGTGTAGAACACCTGACAAGAAGCTTTAAACGTGACGTATTCAATACACAGGACCGTGGAACGTGAACGCGCAGCCCGAGTGGCGGCGTGCAGGCGAGCTGAACGCGCCACCATCAGGAATCTTCGGCCGCTGGAGCACCCGGCGGCCGACGCGGCCCGCGCCAGGAGGCAGGCCGCCGCGCTGCTCGAGAGGGAACTGGCTTCGCTGCACACTGTGAGTTCAGTTGTCATCACCACTCGTGGTAGTTTTTTTTTAACCTTCAAAAGCCTGATTTTTTAAATCAAATAAAAAAATATATAAGTGTACCCTTTACTATGTTTATTAATGGGGGAAAATAGTATAAAAAAATAAATTATTTATAAATTATAAAATAATTTTTTATATATTTATTTTGAAAAAAAAAATTGGTAACATGAAAACAGCCAAATATTAAAATAAAATCGAATGTAGACGCCCAGTGAGATTTATAACCCCGGTATCAAATTTGAGACTTCAGGTATTTAATAGGTTAACGGATGATAATGGAATGGTTACCCCGTCTGCGCTATCGGTATACATTGGCGAGGCACCAGTGACGGACGATTGGTGAGGATGAAGCGGGTCAATTAGCCCATCGTGACGAATTCAACAAGAACCGTTCACGATGGTTTCCAGGGGGAACCACGTGGAGGTCGACCTGATAGGGCATATTTGCTAGCAATGGGGCTGTCAAACTCCATTGCTAACAATCCCTTTCCCCCCCTGCGAGTTCAGTTAACATCACCACTAATGGTAGTTTTTTTTTAATGGATGATAATGGCATGGTAACCCCCCGTCCCCCGTCTTCGCTACCGGTATACACTGACGGGGCACCAGTGATAGACGACTGATGAGGATAAAAGCAGGTCAGTTAGTCCATCGTGACTAATTCCGCTGGAATTAATCACGATAGTTTCCAGAGGGAACCGCGTGGAGGTCGACCTGATAGTGTGTATTGCTAGTAATAGGGAAATTAGACTCCGTGACTAAGAATCACTTTCTCTCCCACTAATGGTAGTGGTGATGATAAATCCTTCCCAACCGTCACCACAATTCCTTTTCACAACCGCCACTCCTGTAATGAGCAGGGGAAAAGGATCGTTAGTAATGTGGTCTAACAGCCCCAATGCTGAGGGGAAAGGGATTGTTAGTAATGGAGACTGAGAATCCCATTGCTAGCAATATACCCAACCGGGTCGACCTCCTCGCGGTTCCCCCTGGAAACTATCGTGGTTAATTCCTGATGAATTCATCATGATGGGCTAACTGGCCTGTTTTCATTCTCATCTATCACCCTTCACTGGTGCTCCGCCAGCGTATCCCGTTAGCGCAGGCGGGGTTACCATACCATTGTCACCCATAAAAAAAACAGCCGCATTGCTAGCAATGTACCCTACCATGTTGACCTTCCCGTGATCCCCCTGGACTCCATCTTGTTGAATTCCAAGTGTATTCATCACGATGGGCTAACTGACCTGCCTTATCTTTCTCACCTATCATCCCACACTGGTGCCCCGCCAGAGTATACCGATAGCGCAGGCGGGGTTACCATTCCATTATCATATAGTAACAGATAATAAGTTTCCAAACCCTGCGTTCATAAAAAATAATACGATTTAAAAGTGGCTTGTAAACAAATCTATTTAAATAAAAACAAATTGATTTTAAATTTAACTCAACTCCCAGGAGTGGACTTTGTTCGTGGCGCGCTCCGGCCTGGTGAAGTTCCCCGAGGACCCGAGCAAGTACGCGCGAGCACTGCAGCAGCACAAGGAGAAGCAGCGGGAGCTCAGGCGGCAGCTGGAGGTGAGCGGGCGATGGTGGTGACATGATTCGAGTGACAGAGTGATTGTTTTGAGCCTGCTTCGTTTTTGATGAATGAAAATGGAGTGGTAACCCTGCCCGCGTATTAGTGGCCTCATTGCTAGTAATACACCCTGTCAGGTCGACTTCCACGCGGTGCAAACCGTCGTGGTCAATTCCAAATGTATTCAATCGCGGTGGGCTAACTGACCTACTTCATCCTCACCTATCACCTCTCACTAGTGCCCCGCCGGGGGGAAAGGGATTGTTAGCAATGGAGTTTGACAGCCCCATTGCTAGCAATATGCCCTATTAGGTCGACCTCCACGTGGTTCCCCCTGGAAACCATCGTGAACAATTCTTATTGAATCCGTCACAATGGGCTAACTGACCTGCTTCTTCCTCACCTATCATCCCTCACTGGTACCCCGCCAGTGCATACCGTTAGCGCAGGCAAGGTTACCATACCATTATCAGCCATTAAAAAAAAACCCTGCTTACGTTATTGGTATACGCTGGCTTTCGCCACCAGTTAGAAATGATGAGTGAGGATGAAAGCAGGTCAGTTGGCCCATCGTGCAGAATTCTAGAAGAATTAACCGAGATGGTGTCCAGAGGGAACCGCGCAGGGGTCGACTTAATAAGGTATGTTACCAATAATGGGGCAGTCAGATACAAATCAGGTCGACTTCCACACGATTTTCCGTGGAAATGATCGTGGTTGTTTATCGTTGAATCCGTCATGTTATTAAAATATTAACCACGTTACTGGACTTGCAGGAGCGGTTGGCGGCGCTGCAGGCCGAGGTGAAGAGTCAGCTGCTGCTGCACCGGCCGTGGCGTTGCGTAGAGGCAGACTTCGCCGAGTTCCCGGCACCGGAGCTGGCCGCTGTTAGTACATACATAGTTTACTTGAACAATAACATTTCTTTCTTTCTTTCTTCATCCATTCATCCATTCCAGAGGGAGACTTTGTACAAAAGTCGATTGCTTGGGCACCTCTGTTCCATTCGTGTTTCTACCGTGAAGTAGTTGTGTTTGCATGGCTGTGTTTCGGTTTGAAGGGTGGGATATGGCGTGAATTTACTGGGTACAGAGGTATAACACCTGAGTCCTCAGGAATGGCAACGCATGGGGGGTATCATGGGCGAAACAGTATACTCTGTTATGTCCATGGTACTGCTCATGTCTATAGGCGACGGTTACCACTTTCCATCAGGTGGGTCGTCAGCTTGTTTACCATTCTAAGTTGTATAAAAAAATATCCTACATAAGACATCGTTTACAGGTTTTAATGCTAGAATAGATAGATAGATAAAGTCTTTATTACCAAGTATAATAGTTAAAAAAAAAAAAAACAATAAAAAAGAAAAAAAAAACAATACATTTTGTTGGTACTAGGAGCCGCCTCTGTTGCTATTATATGCATACCTCCAGCGGGATGTACCTATACAGCGCTGATTTACAGGCGGCCCCTTAACTCATTTGACATTAGTATATTATTGTTACTTTATTAACAGGCGCTGTCAGGACGCACCCTAGCGGTGGGAACACTACAGTACCGTGCGGGTGACGCAGCGCCTACCGACGACACAGTATACGTGACACCCGCTCAGCTAGCCAAGTAAGGACGCTTTCACGTTTGTTATATAAATAATTTTCTTTTTTTAATAATTAAATTTACTTGGGCATGGCCTAAGTTAATTAAAGTAAAACCTGATGTAAATATACTAGAGGGAGACTTGGACAAAAGTCGTTTGCTTGGGCACTCTGCCCCATTCGTGTTTCTACCGTGAAGCAGTTGTGTTTGCATGGCTGTGTTTCGGTTTGAAAAGTGGGATATGGCAGTAAATTTACAGAGGAATAACACCTGAGTCCTCAGGAATGGCAACATATTACGCATACGGGTGGTATCATGGGCGAAACAGTATACTCTGTTATGTCCATGGTACTGCTCATGTCTATAGGCGACGGTTATCACATCCATCAGGTGGACCGTCAGCTTAATTGCCGTTTTAAGTTGCACCGTTGCACTGTTGCACCGATGCGTTGCCATTCCTGAGGATTCAGGTGTTATTCCTCTGTACCTTGTAAATTCACTTAAAAAATTCGAAATCGTATTTTATATATTTTTTTCATCTTCATATCAGCCGTTAACTTTCAACTGCTGAATATAGGCTTTCCTCAGAAGGGGGGCTTTGTCAGTAGTTGCCACACTTGGCAGGCGGATTAGCAACTGCAGTTAGGCTTTGATGATATTTTAAGAGGGACGTTGTTGTTCAAGCTCTCGTCTATTAAATTCCTATACACGCCTCTTACGACACCCACGGGAAAGGAAGGGCTGGCCTATTCTATGCCGGAACCACACGGGAATTTTTCATATATATATATATATATATACTTAATTGTACACACTAGTAATACATAACAAATATGACAGAGATAAGCAGATGTACAAAGGTGAGCTTAACTCTAAAAGAGTTCTCTTCCAGCAACACCCAAAGTGGTAAGGTGCATTCACAAATACATAAATCAAAATATTGTTACAGATTACGTGAGCTAGTCGCAGAATTGCAATCGGACGACGTCAAGCTGCAACTGCAACCGCTGGATGCGACCGTCTGCGCCGCGTAGGCTGCGTGTACGGTTCTTTCTTGTACAAGGGTGGCGAGGGGGGCGTGCTCACACCAGAATAATCCGGCGCCGTAGGACCAGAACTTTGTTAGACTATTCGTCAAAACACAATTGAAAGTACATCAAGCAAAATAGGGAGGTAGAGGGGTTTCTTCAGGGTCGGCACAGCACGCGTAATATCTCTGGTATTGCAGGCGTTCATAGGCTACGGTAACCGCTTACCATCAGGTGGGCCGTATGCTTGTTTGCCACCTCAGTGGTATAAAAAAAATCAAGCATCTTCAATGGAGTGAAAACATAATTAAGGGTACATGGATACGTTAAGCACCTTTAACGGACCAACTGACAATCCCCCTCCCCTCTTCCCTCCAGCGACATTGTAATAGCTAATAGAAGTTTCTAGTATGTATTAATTCGGATGTAATTATATTAAAAAGAGGAAAGATTTGATTGTTTGTTTATAATAGATTAACTGAACAATACTCAACTTGTTAAAAAAATTATTTCACGTATAGAGCATAGCTTTTTTTTATATACTACTTAGAATGGCAAACAAGCTGACGGCCCACCTGATGGAAAGTGGTAACCGTCGCCTATAGACATGAGCAGTAGCATGGACATAACAGAGTATACTGTTTCGTCCATGATACCCCCCCATGCGTTGCCATTCCTGAGGACTCAGGTGTTGTTTTCGAAAATTTAATTTGTAAATTGAATTCATAAATCTCATATCTACATCATATTTCCTTGACGATTGTCATTTAAAATTTGTAAAGGTATTGTTTCTTTTTTTTATTTTTTACTTGAATACCTCTTTTTTTTAATATATTATTAATAATTAAAGATTGTGTGTGAAAAATCTACTGCAATTGTGGCTAAATCATTTATTTACTTCTTTAAAATTAAAATACTGATCCATTTTCGATAAAATTGTGTGTGTGTGAGACCAATCTATAAGTAAATCTTTCTAGAGGGAAAACAGAACTTTTCGAATCAGTTTAGAACTAATGGAGTTATGAGGTAACAAACAAAGAAATACAACCGATTTGAAAATCTTTCTGAAATTCGTTGAAATCATTTAAGTCTGTGTGTTTGTTTGTTTGGTTGTTTGTTCAATAAAAATAATGAAATTCATGTGACTTCCACAATAAATAATAATTTTTTACGTATTACTCAATTCAGCCGGACATTTTTTAACTGTGGTCCGAAGGTCCAAGCTCCAATTCCAGGCTTCTGAGAATTTTTAAATCATTTCCAAATTTTGAAAAATTTGGATCATTTAAAAATAATTGCCATTCGCTTCTTGGTGCAAAAGGCACGTAAACCATTCGTCCGGTAATCCGCGTCACAGGCCTTCGTACGAAGGCGGCCTTATAACTGCTGACAGCAGAGGGCGACACTGTCAAATTCACTCATTTACAAATTAAGACGCACTTTTGCACATATATATATATATATTTATAACCTAATTAAAAATTATTAATTAGATAATGTAATATTGTATTAATTAGTAACGAAATATTTATTTGCTTTAAACAAGCGTTTAACATAATGAAAGTCATGTGACAGCACTTTATGGCATCTATTTTTTTGTTTAATGGATGATAATGGAATGGTAACCCAACCCGCGCTATCAGTATACACCGGCGGGGCACCAGTGAAGGATGATAGGTGAGGATGAAGCAGGTCAGTTAGCCCATCGTGACGAATTCAACAAGAATTGTTCACGATGGTTTCCAGGGGAGCCACGTGGAGGTCGACCTAATAAGGCATATTGCTAGCAATGGGGCTGTCAAACTCCATTGCCAATAATCCCTTCCCCCCTGTGGCATCTATTTAATTGCCTTAAAATTGTAGGCACGTATTAATATAGTATTAAAATATAAAGCACTAATGTTGGTGATTATGTTATGGTTAAAGAAAAAATGAATTTAAATTAAATAGTTTTTAATTTAAAATAAATTAAATAGAATTTAATTTAAATTAAATATATAATGTTTAAATAAAATTTGATTTGTATATAAGGAACTGTTTAAATCATTGTGGGTCGATTCCGAGGTATCATTTCTCTTAGCGTACCTCCAAAATTGAAACTTCAATTTGATAGAGGTATCATAAAAATCAATATGAGGTAAATTTCTAATAGTTTTAAGTCATAAATAAAGATGGTGTCCCACAAAATGGAATCGATTTCAATTGCGAAGAAACCAGTTATTTGTATGTAAAAACCAAACTGTTTAACTAATTTTTTATAAAATTTGTACGGGACCAATCTGTAAGTATATTTTTTTTATACAACTTAGAATGGCAAACAAGCTGACGGCCCACCTGATGGAAGGTGGTAACCGTCGCCTATAGACATAACAGAGTATACTGTTTCGCACATAATACCCCCGATGCGTTGCCATTCCTGAGGACTCAGGTGTTATTCCTCTGTACCCAGTAAATTCACGCCGTTTCCCACCCTTCAAACCGAAACACAGCCATGCAAACACAACTGGTTCACGGTAGAAACACGAATGGGATAGAGGTGTCCAAGCAAACGACTTTTGTACAAAGTCTCCCTCTGGTGATATCCTTTTAGATAAAAAAAATAATTTACCAAATCGGTTCAAAACTGACGGAGTTATGAGGTGACAAACATAAATAGAAATACAACTAAATCGAGAAACTTCTTTTTTAAGTCGGTAAAAAATTGTTATTTTTTTTTTATAGTAAGTATATATAGTACATAGTAATTTCGTGAAACTATCAAATGAATGTATCACGTAAAGAGATAGGCTTAGAGAAATGACGCATCACAATCGGCCTTACTGCTATAATACTACACTATAGAGTTACGTAGTCTATGGTAACTTGTACTTATGTTTAATAATAATAAAGTATTCGCTTATTTATTAAATAAATCGTTTTAATTTCTCTATCACAAGGCAATGAAACGAATTGGCCGCGTGGTCCCGGCATAGAATAGGCCATCCCTTTTTTTCCCATAGGTGTCGTGAGAGGCGACTGAGGACGAGGGACGAGCAACAGCGTCCCTTTTAAAACATCTCTAAAAATCTAACTGCGGTTGCTAATCCGCCTGCCAAGTGTGGCAACTACTGGCAAAACCCTCCAAGGGGGAGGCTTATGATCAGCAGTGGACAGTTAAAGGCTGATATGGTGATGATGAGGGCGATGATACGGTCCTGAGCCATCTGCATTCACCGATTCCCCGCTATGCATTTGAGGTCGTCACTCCATCTAGTGGGGGCTCGTACTAAACCGCATTTGCCTGTACTCAAGAAACTTTCTTCTTAAATTCCAAACTATGTATTAAAAAAACTCTTTAGTGAAATTTGAAAATAGATAATGAAAAATATTATTGCCTCGTAACCTTAATATTTGTCATGTGTCTTTATGAATTGACTCGTGTCTGAGGAACTGTCTTTACAAATTATAATAACGTTTTAATACAACGTAGTACGATATAGCGGTTCGTGTATTTAGCGCGTGTTGTGTTTATTATAAATGTACTGTCAAGTTACTCCGACTAGAACTGAATCTGTTGTGTTCGGAACAAGTGCTACTACTGCCTTCACGCTGGTCTACCCTTCCATGTGTATCTACTCCTAACAAGGTATTCAGCTGCAACTTTAACACCCCTTCAGTTTTTTTAAATGCGTATTTTTTTTATGGGTGAAAATGGAATGGTATCCTCGCCTATGCTAACGGGATACGCTGGCGGAGCACCAGTGAAGGGTGATAGATGAGAATGAAAACAGGCCAGTTAGCCCATCATGATGAATTCATCAGGAATTAATCATGACAGTTTCCAGGGGGAACCGCGAGGAGCTCGACCTGGTTGGGTATATTGCTAGCAATGGGATTCTTAGTCTCCATTACTAACAATCCCTTTCCCCCCTTTAAATGGGTATTAATGGAATGATAACCCCGCTTGTGCTATCGGTATACACTGGCGGGGCACCAGGTGTGGGATGATAGGTGACGATGATGTAGATCAGTTAGCCCATCGTGACGAATTCAACAAGAATTAGCGACGATGATTTCCAGGGCGAACCACATGGAGGTCGACCTGATAGAGCGTATACTGCTAGCAATGGGGGTGTTAAACCCCATTACTAACAATCTCTTTCCCTCCACACCCTTTCGGTTGTCAGGTCTTCGAGCTACGTGATTGGGCTGTTGCCACTTAAGCTTACTTTATATATATATATATATTCTTTATTGCACTTGTAAGTTACATATAAAATAATCTATTTATAAATGTTGTGAGCAAGGGTGGACTTATCTCTGACAGAGATCTCTTCCAGTCAACCCAGTACAGTAAGAAAGCATTTCGTTAGCGGACAGCTGAAGTGCTACAACTATTAATACATAAACAAATATACAGTTAAATAAAATATTAAAATATATAATAAAATATTACATAAATACATACACTATAAATATATACAATACCTACCTACTTATATAGTATATGTTAAAATAAATTAATATACTACATACATTAGAAATTTTATGTCGGTTACTTTGGTTTTTTTGCGGATATCCTTTGCGTTTCGGATTCTATCACGCAAAGAAACACCACTCAGTTAAATATATACCTATAACATTAATACATACATATCTGTCACGCCTGTCTCCCATTAGGGTAGGCAGAAACAATGGAACGCCAAATGCTTCGATTCAAACAGACCTCTTTCGCTTCCTCCACATTCATCAATCTTTTCATACACGCTCGCCGGTTACGGGCACTTTTAATTTGGCCCGTTCTTCAGCACGTCGCCTATTTGGTCAACATACGTCCATCTAGGGCGACCCCTACCGACATCTCCATTCATTCTTGCTCGATAAATCTCTTTCGTAATTCTTCTTTCATCCATCCTCTCCAAATGACCAAACCAACGCAACATTCCTTTTTCGATTTTTGTCACTACATCGTCTTTCAGTCCACACTTCTCTCTAATCATTAAATATATATAACACTAAACTAATTAATGTTAAGAACCTCCTTGGTACAATGGCAGGCGATATGCATTCCAGCAGCGCTTGTCAATGTAAAATAAAAAAAAAAATATATATATATATTTGCATTTTAAAACTAAACTACTAAACAGATTTCAATAAAATGTTTATAGGACCAATTTGTAAATATATCTTTTTAGACAAAAAAATAATTTCCCAAATCGGTTCACAACTGACGGAGTTATGAGGTGACAAATGTAAAAAAAAAAACAATACAGCCGAATTGAGAACATAGACTAAGAAAAAAATATGATTTGCGTTGTCGTTCTATCTCTTTCCATACCATGTGACTTTAACAACACACTTCCTTTTTTTTAAAGTTAGCTGGAAAGAACAATGTAAACCAAATGTTAAGTTTAGCCGTGTGGCATAGAATAGGCCACCCCTTTCTTTCCTGTGGGTGTCACAAGAGGCGACTAAGGGAGGACGAGGGATGGACAGCAGCGTTCCTCTTAAAACATCTCTAAAGCCTAACTGCGGTTGCCAATCCGCCTGCGAAGTGTGGTAACTACTGGAAAAACCCCCCAATGGGGAGGCTTATGTTCAGCAGTGGACAGTTAAAGGCTGATGTGATGAAATATTAAGTTAGACTTTCAGGAACAGCTTTTGGCTGCAATTACATTCGGAATGGGCTGTAATGAAAAAATGACTATTCAAAAAATGCTTAAACCTAGGTTTACTTCACTAAAAATATTCCTTTCTTTCTTTCTTTAACAGTTGTGGAAACCGCATACAATTTAAAGCTGTACTTATTGTATAGTTTTGGTTTGAAGGGTGGGATATAGCAGTGAATTTACTGGGTACAGAGGAATAACACCTGAGTCCTCAGGAATGGCAACGCATGGGGGGTATCATGGGCGAAACGGTATACTCTGTTATGTCCACGGTACTGCTCATGTCTATAGGCGACGGTTACTACTTTCCATCAGGTGGGCCGTCAGCTTGTTTGCCATTCTAAGTTGTATAAAAAAAAGATAGCTGACGATAAATTTTCATGAACACTGGTATCTAGGAGCTGTATAATGACGTAATATAGTAGGATTAATGAAATAAATATATGTAATAGTAGCAGCTAATTAAAGACATTAATGCTCCTTTCCACTTTGGGTGTTGCTGGAAGAGAACTCTATTAGAGTTAAGCTTGCCTTTGTACATTTGATTACCTCTGTCATACATTTATGTACAATTGGTGTGTACAATAAAGTATTAAATAAATAAATAAACTGTATTTAATATAAATTCTCGTTAACTTTGATAGCTTTTAATTAATATATGAAATTGGTAGTAGCCCTCACCGGTATTAAGCAACGCCGGGATCAGGATCAGTGTTAAGGAAGACCAGGACTAGGAGTCTGGCTACCTACACTAGTTAATATTAGTCAGTTAGCGAGTTCAGGCAATGTTCATAGTATTTTAAGACAAAGGGGTAATCAGTCATTTTTTATTCTATTATAATTGGTTCGTAAACAGGGGACAGGGATTGTTAGTAGTGAGATCCAACAGACCTATTACTAGCAATATACCCTAACAGGTCGACCTCCACGTGGTTCCCCCTGGAAACCATCGTAATTAATTTTTGATCAATTCGTCACGATGGGCCAACTGGCCTGCTTCATCCTCCCCTATCACCTCTCACTAGTGCTCCGCCGGGAGGAAAGGGATTGTTAGCAATGGAGTTTGACAGCCCTATTGCTATCAATATGCCCTATTAGGTCGACTTCCACATGGTTCCCCCTGGAAACCATCGTGAACAATTTTTGTTGAATCCGTCACGATAGGCTAACTGACCTGCTTTATCCTCACCTATTATCCCTCACTGGTGCACTGCCAGTGTATCCCAATAGTGCAAGCGGTTACCATTCCATTTTCATCCATTAAAAAAAAACGGTTCGTAAATGCTTTTATTTTTTTTTCGCTTTTTAGGATAATTAAAAAAAGAGTTAATTATTTTACTCACTTTTTTTTTAAATATGTGATATAATGTAACATATATTACGCACAAACATCATTGTTTTTAATTTACCATAGATTAAGAATAACTTCGGATTTTTTATTTGTAAACAAACTAATTAACGTAATGATCCCATAAAGTATTTTATAATGCCTATAGTTAATTTCCAACTGTCCACCCCAAAGATTAAAATAGTTAAATGTTTGTAGTTTGTTGAAGTTATCGATGAACGGTCAGTTAAAGGGGTCGGTTAATGATTCTAATGATGTAGGTGATCGGATTAAATCTTAACTTTTGACCTCCATTAGAGGGGTTCCAGTATAGTTTTAATCACAAAAGGGCAGATAAAGGTATTAATTTATAGGTACGTACTATTTGTGATGTACGTTGAATTTTCAACTAAATGTCCTCAAATTGATATCTTCAACTCACGTCTAAACACCTTCAAAAGCATTTTACAATCAGCCATCAAGTCTCTTTGACATATCCATATTCTTTATGTATTTTTATCATTTGCATGTACTTCATTGTTATTTACCACATTCATATGCTTTCTTTATATAACTTTATAATTTAACATTGTCTGCCGACTGCTTTAACCATGCTGTGTGTACACCTGTCTGGGTCTCAATCTAGTTCAAACTATTATCTTTATGTAAATGTTTATAATGTCATTGATTGTAACCTGTTGTGTATAC